CTTTGAGGGGGAAAGGAACAGTAACATTTGGGGCGGTTGGTGGGGGAGGAGTGATGGACAGGAGTAAGGACCTATAAAAAGATAAACAGGTAAAGAATGAAGAGGTAGGGTATGCTAAGAATGAAGCATGCAAGCATCACACTTTGGCTTAGAAGAGGCATTTTCAGCATTTGTGTGTTTTGTTGCAGTGTCAACCACCATTTGAAGCCAACTTATTTCGCCAAGACAGTGTCATTTTTTAGTCACCCCATCCATTTTCGTGAGGGCACCTATAATATTTCAGTGACTTCACTTTTGGAGGCACCTTTCCCTTCTGTATCCTTTGTGCCCTATGCCCAGTGACTCATACCTTCTACCATTTATTTCTTCAACTCGCTCTTGAATGAAATTCTCCGTTTCCATTCCAGCACTTCCTGCACTCTGAAGTCTGAAAAACCTCCCCACTTCTCCTGCCTCCAGCCATTTCTGCCTTTCATATATTATTAAAACAATATCTATAGTGCCTCCTCTTTAAAACAATGGAGAATATTTAATTCTTACCATGTGCCAGGCACTAGCTTTAACATTTTAAATAAGAATCTAATTGATTCTCACAAGAATGCTGTGAAGTAGTCACTGTCATTATTCCCATTTTACAGAAGACAATGAAAACTTGAAGAATATTAAGTGATGCTCAAAACCACATAGCTGGTAGATGGCAAAGCCGGGATTTATGGCAGTATGTATGGTGGTCAATAATGTGAGCTTTGGGCTGAGTGCTGTGGCTCACAGCTGTAATCCCAGCACTTTGGAAAGCCAAGGTAGGAGAATGGCTTGAGTACAGTAGTTTGAGACCAGCCTGGGAAACATAGTGAGACCCTATCTCTACAGTTTTTTTTTTAAATGGCAGAATGTGGTGGCACCAGCCTATGGTCCAGCTACTCAGTCAGCTGAGGTGGGAAGATTGCTTGAGCCCTGGGAGTTGAGGCTCCAGTGAGCCATGATTGTGCCACTGCAGTCTGGCCTGGGCAACAGAGAGATTCTCTCTCTCTCTCTCTCTCTCTCTCTCTCTCTCTATATATATATATATATATATATATATATATATATATGTGTGTGTGTGTGTCTGTGTGTGTGTGTGTGTGTGTCTGTATAGTATATATGTATACATAAACACACATATATACAGTGTGTGTATATACACACACACACACACACACATAGTATTAGTTCTCGCATTGCTATGAAGAACTACCTGAGACTAGGTAATTTGTAAAGAAAAGAGGTTTAATTGACTCACAGTTCTACAGGCTGCACAAGAAGCATAGCTGGGGAGGCTTTGGGAAATGTACAATCATGGCAGAAGGTGAAGAGGGAGCAGACATGTCTTACACAGCAGGAGTAGGAGAAAGAGAGCAAACCGAGAGGTGCTACACGCTTTTAAACAATCAGATTTCCTGAGAACTCTATCACAAGACAGCACTACGGAGAATGATGCTAAATCATTAGAAACCACTCCCATGATCCAATATCACCTCTCATCAGGCCCCACATCCACCATTGGGGATTACAATTCAACAAGATTTGGATGGGGACACAGAATCAAATCCTAGTTTATACATGGCGTGAGCTTTAAAGTCAATAATATTTTTGCCCCCATTTGCTTACTCATGACTCTGGAAGTGTTATATAATTTTTTAAAAATCTGTTTTCTTATTTTTAAAATGGGGATCATCATAGTACCTACTTCATTTGTTCAATAAATATTCTGAACAACTGTCATGTTCAGAATCTGGCACTGTGCTGAGCACTGGGGATTCCACACTGAAAAAGAGAGGCATCTTCCTGCCATTGCAGAGCTTGCACCTCAGGGAGGGAAATAGGGCTAAATTATTTTTATGTACGTAGCTAAGTGCAATGGAAAGTATTAGCTTACTATAGAGAAGTGTCAGCATCATATTAGGAAAAGAACATGTTCAATGGGATAGATTGGTATATTTGGTATATAATAGTATATGTTGGTATATTTTTGGAAAATGCAGAATTCTCAAAGACATACAGTATTAGTAGAATACACATTCAGACAGGTGCAGTGGCTCACACCTATAATCCCAGCACTTTGGGAGGCTGAGGTGGGTGAATCACTTGAGATCCGGAGTTCGAGACCAGCTTTGCCAGCATGATAAAACCCTTTCTCTACTAAAAATACAAAAATTAGCCAGGCATGGTGGCTCACAGCTGTAGTCCCAGCTACTGGGGAGGCTGAAGCAGGAGAATGGCTTGAACTCGGGAGGCAGAGGTTGCAGTGGTTTGAACCCAGGAGGTAGAGGTTGAGCTAAGATGATGCCACTATACTCCGCCTAGGTAATGGAGTGAAACCCTGTCTCAAAAAGAAAGAAAGAAAGAAAGAGAGAAAGAGAAAGAGAGGAAGAAAGAAAAAAGAAAGAAAGAAGAAGAAGAAAGAAGAAAAAAGAAAGAGAAAGAAAGAAGGAAAGAAAGAAAGGAAGGAAGGGAAGGGGAGGGGATGGAAGGGGAAGGAAAGGGAGGGGAAGGGATGGGAGGGAGGAGGGGGAAGGGGAGGGAAGGGAAAGGAAGGGAAAAGAAAAGGAAAGCACATTTGCTGGGTGTGGTGGTTCACGCCTGTAATTCCAACACTTTGGGAGGCCAAGATGGATGGATCGCCTGAGGTCAGGAGTTCTAGACCAGCCTGACCAATATGGTGAAACCTCATCTCTATTGAAAAAAAAAATACAAAAATTAGGCAGGCGTAGTATGCGCCTGTAGTCCCAGATACTCAGGAGGCTGAGAGAGTAGAGTTCCTTGAAACTAGGAGGCAGAGGTTGCAGTGAGCTGAGATCACACCGCTACATTCCAGCCTGGGCGACAAAGAATGCACATTCATAGTTTACATTAGAATTATTGCTTGGTATTATCACCACCACCATCACCCAACTTCCCACATCCTTGCCACATACCTAACACAGTATTTTGTTGCTTTGAGTTACACAGCATTAGTAAACATTTAAATTTTCATATCCATTGAAATAACATATTTTACAAATTAGGAACAATAGGTTCCTGCATTTACTAGACACTTGCCATGTGATAGAATATATTGTTGTAGTTATTCCACATATCGTCTTTCTTACTAGTCAACCTTGAAGGGTAAGGAGTTGCTGTTACCTGTAACCCTGATGCCTAGGACAGTGTCCTGCCCAGAGTAGGCACTTAATAAATATTTGTGTTTTTTATTGCTGTTGAGCTATAATTGTTAACTTGAGATTTCCTAAGCAGGTAAAGGCTTTCTATCCTGTATTATTTTTAGTTCAGATCATGTAATCTATGCCCAGTATATATTTTCTATTTACTCTTTTTCAGTAACTGCTGTCTCAAAGTAAAAAATGGAAATCTTTGCCTGAATGGACTGGTACCAACAGATCTGAAATTCTTAGAAATGTTGGAACCAGAAGCTACTTCCCACACAATCCATGAAGGGGGGTGGAGAGAGAGAGAGAGAGAGAGAGAGAGAGAGAGAGAGAGAAGACAGAGAAAGGGAGAGAGAGAGAGAAACTGGGTCTTGTAGAGAGTCCAAGACAAGTACTGCCCAGTTCTCGACCCTCACCAGGTCTGTGGCTTTCGGTTCTGTGCTTGTCTTCCTCATGTGTAAAATGAGGCTAATGATACAGCAGCACAGGGTTGTTGGAAGAGTAAAATGAAACAACAAACAAGAAGATGCTGGGGATGGTAGAAAAATGCTAATAAATGTCAAATATGGATAGAAAGGAAATTGGATATAAGATACAGGTGTGTTTAATTTTATTAATAATAAACTAATTACGTATGTAATATTATTTACCAAAAAAGAAACTGCTTGACAAAATAATTCAATATACTGTAACATTAAATTGTAAGGCTTCCTATTGCTTTAAATTTTTTTAGTAAACGGTTTTATTGAAGTATAAACTGATTGCACTTTAGAATAATTTAATTTACCTTAGAGCCTTTTCAGATCACATTCACTGCAATGGGTAAAGCCGAATGTATCTATAATTTATTGTCAGGGTTAGAGACTTGAACTGATAAGGATATCATTATCTACTGTTTAGGGCAAAAGATATAAAATGAGTGTGCATTAAGTGCCAAGGTTTTCTCTAAAAAGGGCCCACTGTAAAAGCCAGAAGCGTGCCAGTTCAATTCAACAAATATTTAATTAGCACTTGAGATTTCCAAGGCACCGTTTTGGGTACCGAGGAGGAAGCAAAAATGAAGAGCTGCTCATGCCAGCGAGAGACAAGACATGAACCAAGCAACTAGGCTGGAAAGAGTGGGGCGTCGTGATGTAGAAAAGGCAAAGCACAGGAATAACCTAGTGGCGCCTAAAATAATCCAACTTTTCCTGCCTTCTTCTTCTTCTTTTTAAGATTCTATTTTGGAACCCTTTTCGCATGTGCCAGGTCGCTTGTCAGCAGAGAATCCTCAACCCTGAGAAATCTCTCCTGCCTATTCTTTCTTTCCGCACAAATCCGATGAGCTCTTCTGCCATCAGCACTGCTCTTGGAATGGTAGCTATTGTGTGGGTGGTGAAACGACGGAAAGATATTTTTGTTCTAATTATGAGAACGGTATTACAGGGGGAAGGGGGGAGAGGCTGATCTGAAGCGCTGATGAGATGCTCTGTGAGGATCCTCCGAGGAGGCGTTACTAAGGTTACTAGAGAGAGGATGGCAGGTGATGGGCAGGGTAAAACAAAATATATTCTCAAATGTGAGGCGTGGGCTGAGCAGCAGGTAGTGCCAGCGGTACTAGGTGCCGGATTCCCTAGATGGGAAAGGAAGAAGGCCCAGGAAAAACTGGGAGCCGCGACATGGCGAAAGCTGGAAGCCTTTGCGTCCCCTTCCGGGCCTTTTCTCCCGCTCCCCTTGTTTCCCGGAGCTATTCTGGCTGTAGCACAAGATCGGCGCACTCGCGGGACGGTGCCATTTAGATGTAACACGTGGCCGTGTCAGACCGGAAGTGGTGCCCAGTTGGGACCCGTAGGGAGAGGCGGGTAGCGGGCGACGGCGGCGGCGACTGTGGCGAGTCTGCGCGGCCGGGCGCACGGGACCTGCCCTGCAGCGGCTCTCAGAGGCCGAGGGTCGTCGCTACAGCTGCCGGGAAAGGAGGAAACGAAGACTCCGGGGGCGAACTTGGCACACCGGGAGGAAGGGAAAGGGTGTGTGAGGAGGGCTGTGGCTATATTTGGCGTCGGGGAGAAGGACCTCAAAACTTGTTTTTCTTATAGTACTCGTTGATTGTGGGTTTTTCTTTTTGCATGACAGATTCTGGAGACACCTGGCATCTCCGTTCTCGAGTTTCTCTCGGCTCTTGTCAGTTGATTCGTAGCCTGAAGTGAGTGAGAGCTTTTTAGAGCGGCCGGAGAATAAAGAAATGGGAGAGTGAAAGCCAGAGTAGGAAGTGGTGTCCTGTGGGCGTGGCGAGATGATGATGATGAAGGTTAACATTTGCTGGGTTTCGCTATACGAGACACTGGTGAAACCCTTTAGATGAGGTAACTCATTTAATCTCCATTCCTGTGAGGTCAGTTATCTTACGAGCCTCTTTTTATAAATAGAGATACTGAGGCTTGCGGCTTGCAGAGGTTAATGAACAGGCCCAAAGAAAGAAAAGCTGTGAATTCTAGTAGGCTCATCCCAGAATATATCTCCAAACTCCACACTGCAGCTGTCTCCCATTAAGATGTAAAGAAAGTGAGGACTCAGGACAAAGAGTGAGGACATTATAGCTTGAACAGATGTGATCGGACAGCTGGAGTTGACCTGATAAAGGGTGTAAAATCCAGGTGTGTAAGGCAATAACAGATGTAAGCGAGGGTAGAGTTGTAACTGTGGCTTTCTAACCTTCATCTTCAACCTTGACTAGCGTCTTCCTATCTGGGAATTCAGTGGGACAAAGAAGAGAGGTATATACATACCCACACGCCTAAGTTTGAAAATGGAATTACAGACTTTAAAGGTTATTTGAAGATATAAACAACTTAAATGTTATTTCACGTAGCTACCTTATTAGATGTAGCTATCTACTGGATGAAGTCCAGGGAGATGAAATAACTTACTCAAGGTAGCCAGGACTAGAAATATGTTGTCTATCCTAGACCCAATGCAATGAAGTTTAGGGAATTCTTTCCTCTTTTTCATGCTGTACTTGCTGTCATTATATTAGTTTTAATAATTTGATATGTCCTTTAACCTGGACTGTTCCTTCTAGCCATGTAAATTACTTATTTATGACATCAAATAGTCAAATAATCCATCAATTCCCGTTAGTGTGTGTTCCAATTTCAGTGTAAAGCTGGAACCTGGAGCTTCTTCTAACACAATTGAGTGACAACCGAGGTCTTCCAGCATTTCTAAGAATTTCGATTCAAAAATGAAGTCCCAGCATTTTGAGAGGCTGAGGCAGACAAACTGCTCGAGCCCAGGAGTTCAACACCAGCTTGGGCAACATGGTGGAACCTCTTATCTACAAAAAAAATTTTTTTTTTTTTTTTTTTTGAGACGGAGTTTCACTCTTGTTACCCAGGCTGGAGTGCAATGGCGCGATCTCCGCTCACCGCAACCTCCACCTCCTGGGTTCAGGCAATTCTCCTGCCTCAGCCTCCTGAGTAGCTGGGATTACAGGCATGCGCCCCCATGCCCAGCTAATTTTTTGTATTTTTAGTAAAGACGGGGTTTCACCATGTTGACCAGGATGGTCTCGATCTCTTGACCTCGTGGTCCACCCTCCTCGGCCTCCCAAAGTGCTGGGATTACAGGCTTGAGCCACCGCGCCTGGCCTCTACAAAAAATTTTTTAAAAAATTTGCCAGGTGTGGTGGTGCACTCCTGTAGTCTCAGCTACTTGGAGAAGCTGAGGTGGGAGGATCCATTGAGACCACGAGGCTGAGGATGTTATGAGTCATCATGGCACCACAGCACTCCAAACTGGGCAATAGAGTGAGACTCTCCACAAACACCAAATAAATAAAATGAATTGAGAAAACTGACCAAAGGGCAAGGTAGTTTACCTTAAAGAAACCTAAAAGAATGGAAATCTACATATGTTGAATAAGATTACAGGAAAATTTTCATCAATTGATGATGTACTACTGTTCACAAATACTGTAATTCTGGAGTATAGTAAGTCATACTCCAGAGTGGAAATTTGGAGTAGTTGAAATTGTGGGCTCAAGAATCAAGTAGAGCAGATTAGTCACTTACTAGATTTGCAAAGTAGATTTACTTTACTTAATTTTGATTACTTCATTCCTAAATGAAGATACTTTCTAACTTGCAGAATTAGAATCATTGTGTGCAATGTACTTAACGTCTGGAACAAAGTTGGAAATATACAGTCATTGTTACTGCTGTGAATCAAATAAAAGTGAAGCATTGGTAAACCTTGTAAGCAGTCACCGCAGCTTCTATGCCTGGTTTTCAGTGAAAAGGTCAAAGAGTAGCCCTTTTTGTTCACCTTATGATAAATTGAGAGTGAAAAATGTTGCTGCATTTTCTGAAAGGTGTATCTCTTATTTAAAAGGGAATAGAATTTTTAGATGGCTAGATAGCCTATGAACAGGAATCTGCTCACAATGATCCTTAAAAATTATTGTGGCTGTTTAAGAAAACTTATTTTTGAACTATTCTGTTTCCTGAACAATTGGCAACTTGGATTCTAAATAGCTGACTTTGTACTCCTTTACAGATGCATGGTCATGGAGGCTATGATTCTGATTTTAGTGATGATGAACACTGTGTAGAATCCAGCAAAAGGAGAAAAAGGTTAAGTAATTTTTTTTATTGATCTGCATTTCACATCCTTTCTAGATTAATATGAAGTGTAAATAAATGAGTGAAATTTTTGAACTGTGTTTACATGTGAATTCAATTGCTCTAGTGAATGAATTTTTGTTCATTAAACTAATACATTGACTAAAAATTGTAGAACAGTTGTGGGAAAAAATAAAATGTTAATTCTGTGAAGGAGGTTATTGAAAGGGAAAGAAGAGTTTCAGATTTCTGGAATGTTTACAGACATTAATGAAACCTTTTTATTGCATATATTTTTCATTCAACTGTCAAGGACTGTTTTATTTGCAAATCTTGTAGCTCAGAAGGTGCTTGAATGGTGATCTCTTGCTAGTACTTGCCTTCAAAGTGAAGTTAACGTGGAGGATAAAAATATAGTAGTGCAGCACAGTTCTTATGGATACATGAATGAGCAGACTAAGAGGTCCTGGGGAGAAACTCAAGGAAGGTTTATTGAATTGTAAGGGACAAGAACTCTTAGCACATAAAGCCTGTGCATTATAAGTAGGATGTCCTGGTGGAGCTCCTGTGCATAGGAGCATTGTTCCTAGCTTTGAGTGCATAGAAACTGTTGTATACTTTGACTTAGGAGTGGTTGACTGATGTATACTAACCAAACTTTTCAGGCTGTTGACTGATTTTGCTAACCAATTGTATAGAAATTGGCTTATTGTTTCACACTGAGAGCAATGTACTAGGCGTATTAACTGGGTTTGAACGTTTTAATAAGATACTTAGTCTTTGTGATAACCCAAAGGATAGTAATAATTATAATAAATTACATTTTTGATGGTTTACATTTTCTAGATTTTTCATTTGAAAATATTACTTTGTAAGAGTAGAATATGAGCAAACCTAGTTAGATACTCTGCTCTAGGATTATATTTATCACTATATCTAGGGCTGATCGTCTATGTCAGGGGTCTCCAATCTTTCGGCCTCTGGGCCACATTGGAAGAATTGTCTTGGGCCACATACTACTGTGGAGCACACACAATTGTGAATCTGTTAGCTCACTGTTGGCCTGGAACAGTGCTGGGCCTGCATAAAATACACTAATGATAGTCAATGAGCTTTAAAAATTGCAAAAAAATTTCTTAATGTTTTAAGAAAGTTTACAGATTTGTGTTGGGCCACATTCAAAGCTACCCTGAGCCACATGAGGCCCACGGATTGGACAAGCTTGATCAATGGTTTGTATTCTCTATAATCAGTCTAACTTAATTACCGAAAACTTTATCACTGTGTTACAGCTAGAGAAATTAAGAGACAAAGAGATAAGTAATTGAATCTTACTAAGATTAAGGCAGTAATTGACAGAATTAGGATTTGAATCAGGAACCTAGGTGATCTGGCACTAGAGTCCATGCTTTTGTTATTTCATCTTCTCCATGTTACAGATATTAAATAACAGTAAGGTATTAATTAAGCTATTTAAGGAAATGTAAAATGTCTCATTAAAAATCAGTGAGTCTTCTTAAAGACTTACCTTCTTTAAAATCTATTCCAATTATGAACATAAAAAGAATTAGAAAACAACCTTTGAAAAAAATGAACTCATATTTTCTTCTTAATATACCAGGACAGTTGAAGATGACTTACTGCTCCAAAAACCATTTCAGAAAGAAAAACATGGAAAGGTGGCCCATAAACAAGTTGCGGCAGAATTGCTGGATAGGTATGATATTTCGATGGCAGTTCTATTTCTTGGTTTAAGTTGTTTCATCAATTACAGACTAGGGGATTTGATTATGTTAATTCAAATATAGACATTGTGAATTTGCTTAAAATAAAATTTGTTTTAACAGGGAAGAAGCAAGAAATAGAAGGTTTCATCTCATAGCTATGGATGCTGTATCCTTTTTATATTTCCAGATTTTTATAACTAGTAGAATATTTTAAAATCTGCTTTTTTGTTTTATAAAATCTTTTGAAGTCAGATAGGCCTTTTTATTTTTAAAGATAAGTATTTATTGATGTAGGATTTTGCCATTTATACTTTTGGGTACAATTCTCTTTTACTAATATATAGGAAAGATTTAGAGACAAAAATAACCAGTACGCATATTACTAGTACTTTATAAACAGGTTTATAAAGTACATGAATCTGCAAATATATTTTCCAACTTGTTTTTTCAAGCTTTCAGCATTTCCTTTTCTTATACTTACCTTTAGTCTGATTTTAATTTATTCTCTTCCTACCTGGTTCTTTGCTATTTAAGGTCTCTACAAAACTTGTATTTGAAATTAGGTCTATCCAGCCTGTCTCTGGATCTAAGGAAAAAATAAAAATAAAATTAGGTCTGCCTGTGGACTGTCCTCAGGCCTGCGGTGGCTTTAATTTTTAGGCATGACTTAAAGCTGTGTAAGATAAACCCTGCTTCCCACTTGTAGCCATTTCTCAACTTAGTGTTTGATTAAGACTGGCTCTAACTGCTAAGCTGGCCATCCATGCTGCTGTTAAGAATACTGGAGAATTAAAGAGAGGCCAAGCAAGAACTGAAGTATTTGGAGGTATTTATTGCTGTAATCAGAATTAGGAGAAGGAGACAATGTCAATTTGATACGCCCCCCTACCTGTATTCATCTGTTTCAATTTATTATTCCAATATTTTTCTTTAAGTTGTAGAAGTACCATTGTGTCACTAATTGATTTATTCCTCTTATCTCCTAACCCAGTAGCTTAGTGTTTCCATGGATCTCATCTGCCATTTGTTCCTTTAGCATTTAAACATTTGCTCTGCCTTCTCTGACACCCACTGCACTGGGGGCACCTAGTTATACTTCACTCTCACTAGGCACTCCTTTTCTGGCATAGGTGGAAGTGGAGCCACAGGTTTTTTTTTGGTTTGTGTGGGAGGATTTATTTATTTTTTTCTTTATTTTATTGTATTTTTTTACTTTAGGTTCTGGAATACATGTGCAGAACTTGAGGGTTTGTTATACAGGTATACGTGTATGATGGTGGTTTGCTGCACCCATCAACCTTGCCCCTCCCCCCCAACAGGCTCCAGTGTGTGTTGTTCCCCTCCTTGTGTCCGTGAGTTCTCATTGTTCAGCTCCCATTTATGAGTGAGAACATGCAGTGTTTGGTTTTCTGTTCCTATGTTGGTTTACTGAGGATGACGGCTTCCAGCTTCATCCATGTCCCTACAAAGGACATGATCTCATTCCTTTTTGTGGCTGCACAGTATTACATGGTATATAGGTACCACATTTTCTTTATCTAGTCTATCATTGATGGGTTGGTTCCATGTCTTTGCTATTGTGAATAGTGCTGCAATAAAAATATATGTGCCTGTATCTTTATAATAGAATGATTTATATTCCTTTGGGTATATACCCAGTAATGGGATTGTTGGATCAAATGGTGTTTCTGGTTCTAGATCCTTGAGAAATTGCCACATTGCCTTCGACAATGATTGAACCATTTTATGTTCTCACCAATAGTGTAAAAGCATTCCTGTTTCTCTCCAGCCTTGCTAGCATCTGTTGTTTCTTGACTTTTTAATAATTGTGATTCTGACTGGGAGCCACAGTTTTCTCTGGGGTGTTTGGCAAGAGTAGAGTAGTTATTGTCTAAAAGTTGTCTTGCTTGGCTGACTCTTGGTCATTTGGTTAGGGAGAACAGGCTTTTGTTGAGGCTTTTTTAGTTCGTGCCTGTTGTTGTTTCCAGGTTGTTAGCTTCTTTACCTCCAAATCTAGGATATATGAGACAAAAAGGAAACCTAGGGAACTCACTACCATGTTAGACCATAGGTTTTCAGTTCCCTAGCAGTATGCCTTCTTCTCTCCACCTTTCAGAGTCTTTTTATGTTTGATATATAATATACAAGGATTTTAGTTGTTAGTGTGAGGAATAGGGAGAAGTACATCTTTGTCTATTCCATCTTCCCAGAAGCAAAAGTTCTACCCACCACCTGTTCTTGCACATAAAATTATATTGGAATACAGCCATGCTTCATTTATATGTTGTCTTTGGCTGCTTTCATGCTAAAATGGCAGAACTGAACATTTGCAACAGAGACCATATGGCTTGCAAAGCCTGAAATATTTACCATCTGGCCCTTTACAAAAAAAGTTTGCTGACCCCAGCTCTAATAGGTTACATGAATTGCCATGGTCTTGTGACCAGTTAATGGTAGATCAAGAGCTAGAATCCAGATCTCCAGATACTTGGCTTTTCTGTCTGTCTGTCTGTCTCTCTTTTATTTCCCTGAAATATTAACTGGTTTGTTACAACATGGAAATGTCCTATTCTGATTGTCTATTAGAACACATTATGATCAATGAAATCATTATTTTTAATGTCATAGTCACAGAGAGTATCATAGAAGGCGAGGTTAGCTCTTATGTGCATGTTTGGCTTTAGACTAGAGAGTGCTATTGAGTTTTTTAAAACAAGTAAAATGCTCATTTATTTGTTATACTGCATTGAAAGTAAACATGGTATTTTATTCTCTGAATTTAAAAGACAGTATAAAAATTGATTTTTTATATTTGCTTTTTTTTTGAAACTTTTAGGATTTAATATAAGTTGCATCTTCTATTTAGAGGCTTTATCATTACTAAAACAGATAAGTTATATTTTATGATAATGAAAGAAAAATCATACTCTACTCTTAGAAACTACACTTTTTAAATTTTTCATATTGTGATTATTAGAATGAGTGGTGGTAGGAGGCTATATGCAGTTCAGCAATAGAATAGGAAGCTCTCTTTCTTCCCAGATGGAGATATATTTTTATCACAAGAGTAGTATATGCTTGAAAAATATTCAAAAGAAAGCCTCTACTTTACAATCTTCACTCAACAATTTAGTATATACGCTTCTAGATTTTCTGAATGTATAAGCATGTATGGTATGTATTTGCATATTTTAAAAAAGCTAAATAGACTCATACTATGCTTTTTTTCCCACTTAGCAATATGACACCAAACAATTCCTAACAGAATAAAATCCTTAATTTTTTTCATTTCAGTATCAAAGACACACAAAGTTTGTAAATGACTATATTTTATACTATGGTGGCAAAAGAGAAGACTTCAAGCGTTTGGGGTAAGTATCAGGAAGTTTACATAGAAGGGAGTGTGGGGTATGGAGAACTTTGAAGACCCACAGCTACAGATTTTCTGATTCTGTCATTCTTTCCTGCTTTCTATTCCAATTTGCTTTTTATATTATAAGGTAGAGATACCATCTATATCTTCTGAGTAGTTTCATGATTCCCATTTCTCTGGACAGGCCTCAAGTAGCCTCTTTACCCACTGAGCCAGGTACAACCCTGGTGATAAAAGGATGCATGAGGACTACTCATATATCTTCTTGGCAAGGATCTTTGAAATAAGGAAATTTTTAGACCTTAATGTTTGGGATTGCCTTTTAAAAGACAGGTAAACAAAAAATCTCACTCTGGCATTTCTTGCCTGTCAAAGGGCTTCCCATGTTTAAGGCTCTTCTATCAGAACTTGTTCTGTTTTTTTTTTTTTTTTTTTTCTATTTTTATTTCAGTCATTTTTTAGATACAGGTGGTTTTTGGTTACCTGAATAAGTTCTTTAGTGATGATTTCTGAGATTTTAGTGTACCCATAACTTGAGCAGTGTGTACCAATCCTAATGTGTATTCGTTACCTCCCTCCTAGCCTTCCCTGCACTGAGTCCCCAAAGTCCATTATGTCACTCTTTTGCCTTTGCATCCTAATAGCTTATTTCCCACATATAAATGAGAACATACGATAATTGGTTTTCCATTCCTGATTTACTTCACTTAGAATAATGGCCTCCAGCTCCATCCAAGTTGCTGCAAAAGATGTTATTTCATTCCTTTTTATGGCTGAGTAGTATTCCATGAGGTAGGGGTGTGTGTGTGTGTGTGTGTGTGTGTATCTATATATCTGTATATCTATATCTGTATGTATCATATTTTCTTTATCCACTCATTGGTTGATGGGCACTTAGGTCGGTTCCAAAGCTTTGCAATTGTGAATGCGCTGCTATAGTGTATTTGGGTCTTAGAACTTTTTAGTTTTGGGTGAGGTTGTTTTTTTTTTTCTCCTCTAACATTTTTCTGAGTTGGTAGGGCACTGAGAAACTTTAGTACCGTCTCATTTACCCCCGATTTATCTCCCTTATCAATTTATCCTGTATCTCCCAACAATCACTTTTTTTTTAACCCCAGTTAGCATTTTATTTTGAAAGATCAGTCCCTTTGGCTCTCTTCCTCCTTTACTCAGTCTTCTACCTAGGAAACTAGGAAAGAGCTGTGGAAAACTTTTCATATTTTTAAAAATTAAATCTCAGCAGAGAAGCATTTTACAGACTTTTGATTAAATTCTGAAACTTATTTTCATTTACTTAATTCATTTAATGTTTATTCAGGTTTCTCATTCTACCTTTGGTAGCTTAGCACCATTTTTATATTTGAAACCAATGCAACAGACAGATTCCTTATCCATTTAACTTGCTTCTGTAGCAGCACTTTTTATAAGTGCCTTTTGAAACTATTGAAGTATTTTTATAAATGTATGAACAAATATATACACTCACAAAAAGCTATGTATTATATTTTTAATAAAATTTCCCAAAACTCACAGAACTATTTAACCTAAATTTGACTACTTTCATTTTTGTATTAAATTGAAAAAGTTTTATTTTCCAGGGAAAATGACAAGACAGACTTGGATGTTATACGAGAAAATCACAGATTCCTATGGAATGAGGAGGACGAAATGGACATGACTTGGTAATTAGCTATCAGAGGCATAATGCATGAAATGCTTTAGTCCTGGCTCTCTTGTTTTCTGAGGTTTTTTTTTTTTTTTTTTTTTTTTTTTTTTTTTTGTCGCTTAGTCAAGGTGTTCAGTCCCTTCATAGAACAATTCTTAATCAAGGACATAAAATCGTACCTAGGATTATTTGATTCTTTTGGTAATTTTGGCATTTTAACTGACTTCTCATTATTTGACTTAGTCTTCAGAAAATATTTTTTTTACAGTATTGTGTGTTATCTTGTAATATGCTATTATATGCTGCTGCTTTAATTTTTTAAATGTTTTGGAAAAAAGTCATACTTGAAAATATTTTTTAAATGTAAACATTACAAAGGGTAAACAGTGAAGAGTGATTGTCCTCCTCATTTGTGACTGTCAGTTCTCCAATTTCCCTCCCTGAGGGAACCACTGTTAATAGTTAATATCCAGATACTCTATGCAAATGTAAGTAATAGTTCTCTTAAAACATTAATGTTTATTTCGTATGTGTTCTTTGACATCACTTGCAAGTAGCAAACCATGGTTGAGTTTCTAAATGTATAATATTTATATTTTTATTTAACTAGGGAGAAGAGACTTGCTAAGAAATACTATGATAAATTATTTAAGGAATACTGCATAGCAGATCTCAGTAAATATAAAGAAAATAAGGTATGCTTCCCACATATTTATGGAAAGAGGTTCTTATTTAAGTAAAATAATAACTTTTATACTATAATGTCCCATATTATTCTTTTAAAGATGCTAATTCTAGACTCAGTTGTCCTGCATTTATGATGTCATTTGGACCATTTAACCTCTGCAGCTGTGGAGTTTTACAAAAAGCCTGTGGAAATTTATGAAGGACAAAGATGCTTTTTTTTCTTTGTGAGCTGAGGCATGAAAAGTCTAAAATTAAACACAAGTGGCTACTGGATCCTGCTTCATCCTGAGTCTAGTCTAGAGCCTCTAGTGATTGTAATGAATGATTTAACTCTACAGAATAATGTCTATTTCACAGATGATGTTTGAAATTGATAGATTTTAAAAAATTGATTACCATTTATAGAGATCCAGATGTACACCTTCCATTACGTAAATGTCTATTCTAGTAAAATTAACATTTCAATCAGTGCTAATTAGCAATGGCAGATTTCCTTTCCCACTTTACATCTTATGTTAGTTAATATTTTTATATTTTTATTTTTGGCCATGATGGCTCATGCCTGTAATCACAGCACTTTGGGAGGCTGAGGCAGGAAGGTTGCTTGAGGCCAGGAGTTCAAAACCAGCCTGGGCAATATAGTGAGACTCTGTCTCCACAAAAATTAAAAAAAAATTAGCCAGGTACAGTGGTACCTGTCTATAGTCCTAGCTACTTGGGAGGCTGAGGTTAGAGGGTTACTTGAGTCTAGGAGTTTGAGGCTGCAGTGAGCTGTGATCATACCACTGCATTTCAGTGTGGGTGATAGCGAGACTCTCTAAAAAATAAAAAGTTATTTTGATTTCTATCTCAAACTTCAAATTATACCTGGAATAGGTGACCCAGAAGCAGATCTCAGTTGGAAATGTGAGAGGAAGGAATGTTGCATAAATATGTGTTATGTAAATATGTGTTATACCAAATAGGTACTGTATATTTGTATTAAGAAAAAAACTTATTTAAAAAGCTGTCTTATATATCATGAAGATTCTTTGTCATTTAAATCACATTAGAACCAGGGTTGATTTAATAATTTTTTTCGGTAGTCCCTTTAATATGTGTGTTGTTTCAGAGTTTCTTCTAGAAAATAGTAATAATGTTCATTTTGTATACCCTATTTATAAACCCATGCACTTAATATGTCCCCAAAACTTCTGTTTCTTATGAACTGGTTATGGACTTCAGTTCACAGCTGTCTTCTGTACCACATTGGATTCAAAAAACACCACAGCAATGGGAGTTAAAGTTACTATATTATAAATCAAGCTTGAAAACTATGTCTTTCTAGGAGCATGTAACAAAGCAGCTTTTTCAGCTCTGGCTTGTTCATGGATTGTTCTTAAGTTGTTTTTTTTCTTTCTTTTTTTTTTTTATTTTTCCCCACCTCCTAATAACATCACAATTCTTCAGTATTTTGTTGTTGTTCAGTATCTATTGAAACTGTACTAGATACTGTGGATTAATACATGGTGATTACTCTTCAGAAAAAGCTAGTCTAGTTGAGGGGAGAAGGTATACATAAATAAAAATTAAATATTTGAATTCTCAATTTTTTAAAGCATACCACTGGAAATCATAGCTTAAAGAGAATGTTGAAAAAAAATTTATTTTTCTACTAGAACATGATGAGTGATTGGATATGAGGGTAAATGCAGCAAGAAATCGGATAAGACTCAGATTATGAGCATGGATGCTGAGAGAAATACAGAATTTGGAGGGGGATTTTTTTGTTGGGGGAAGATAATGAGTTTGGTTTTGGCATACCATGTTTGAGGTGTTAGAGAAAGAGTAATGGCTTTGGTTCCCTTGCTAGGATGCACTTTCTGTTCCCTTTATTTATACAAAGACAGAGCATTATTCACTTAATTAAAACCAGCTCCTAATATTTATAGTAGATACTTTTAGAGGATTTTTGGTGAATTCTCACCTTTGCCTCTTACTCCTATTCCTTTCTTAATTGCATTTCCCCTCTTTAGTTGGATCATTGTATCAGTTAGGATTAGGTTCAGCTGCAAGGACAGAGAACACTCTCCGAAAAAAACCACTGGCTCAAATGAGCTAGAAAGTTTATTTTTCTTATACATAAAAGTCCAAGTGGGTGGTTACAAAGTCAGAATTCTTGTTTACTGCTTGCGTATGTGACCTCATTGTGATGAGTGCAGACTGAGAAGAAAAGGAGGCTCAGCACCAAACCCTGAATAACTTCAGTTTTAATCCAAACTAGGAAATTTATGTCAGGAGAGAATATACAGTCTGTAACTAGTAGGATATAATGCACTTGTTCTGTTGCATTTATTATTTTCTTGTAAGATTATAACCTTGGTGACATACTATTTAGTAATCACTTTATCCTCAGTGGAATGACAAGCCCGATAGGTAGTTGTTTAATAAAGTTATGTGTTGACTAGATTAATGAATGAAGAAGAAAGTTTGGAGACTTGCTGTTAAACTTGGCCATGCTTCAGTAGACATCCTAATATGTTGGATGGCAAGCAGTCTCCACATATATATATAGGATTAAAAATATAATTAAACAGAGTTATCCTGAAATTTAAGTTTTTCTCCTAGATTTGGAGGATTTTATTTTTGTTGGGTTTTAATCAGAATATTTTGAAATATTTTGAGCCTTTATTTGCATTTAAAATACAAAATTACCAAATTCAAGTAATAGATTGATGATTTAAAAAAAACAGTTGAAATTGCCAGGCACAGTGGCTCATGCCTGTAATCTCAGTATTTTGGGATACTGAGGTGGGAGGATAGTTTGAGGCCAGAAGTTCAAAACCAGCCTAAGCAACATAGTGAGACCCTGCCTATATAAAAAAATAAAATTAGCCAGACAGGGTAGCACATGCTGTAGTCCCAGCTGCCTGTAGTCCTAGCCACTTGAGAGGCTGAAAAAAAAAAAAAAACACACACAAACAGACTGAAGTTAGCAAGGCATTGAATGCTTTATCTGAATCCTCTGTCTTAATATAACAATCCTGTTAACTCAAGGTTGTTACTATTCCCATTTTTATACATGAAGAGGAAATAGAGAAGTTAAGTAACTTTCCCAAGGTTAAGACCTAATGAGTGACAGAGCTTCTTGAGTTGGATACAGGTGTGCATGTTTCTAGAGCTGAGTGATTTTGTTTTGTTTTGCTTTGTTTTGAGACAGGATCTTGTTCTGTTGACCAGGATGGAATGCAGTGGCATGATCATGGCTCTCTGCAGCCTCCACCTCCCGGGTTCAAGTAATCTTCCTGAGTGTATTTTTTGTTTTTAATTTGTAGAGCATTTTTAGGTTTACAACAAAATTGAGCAGGAAGTACAGAGTTCCCGTATTATACCGTCTTCCTTCATATATGCATAGCCTCCCCTACTGTCAGCATCCAACACCAGAGTGCTACATTTGTTACAATCAGTGAACCTACATTGATACATCATTATCACTTGAAGTCCATTGCTTCCATTAGGGCTCACTCTTGATATTGTACGTTCTACCACTTTTGACAAATGTATAATGATGTGTGTCCACCATTATAGTATCATAGAGAATACTTTCATTGCCCTAAAAATCCTCTGTGCTCCACCTGTTTATCCCACCCTCCTTCCAAATTGCTGGCAACTACTGATCTTTCTACTTCCTCCATAGTTTTGCCTTTTCCGGAGTATCATATAGTTGAAATCATATATGTGTAGCCTTTTCAGATTGGGTTCTTTCACTTTGTAATGTGCACTTAAGGTTCCTCCACGTCTTCATGGTTTGATATTTCTTCTTCTTTTTTTTTTTCTTTTTTTGAGACAGAGTTTCACTCTTGTTACCCAGGCTGGAGTGCAATGGCACGATCTTGGCTCACCACAACCTCCGCCTCCTGGGTTCAGGCAATTCTCCTGCCTCAGCCTCCTGAGTAGCTGGGATTACAGGCACATGCCACCATACCCAGCTAATTTTTTTTTTGTATTTTTAGTAGAGTCAGGGTTTCACCATGTTGACCAGGATGGTCTCGATCTCTTGACCTCGTGATCCACCTGCCTCGGCCTCCCAAAGTGCTGGGATTACAGGCTTGGGCCACCGCGCCCGGCTGATATTTCTTCTTACCACTGAATATTACTCATTGTCTGGATGTACCACTGTTGTTTATTTATCCATTCATTTAGTGAAGGACATCTTGGTTGTTTCCAAGTTTTGGCAATTAGAAATAAAGTTGCTGTAAACATCTATATTTAGGTTCTTGTGTGGACATTAGTTTTCAGCTCATTTGGGTAAATACCAGGAAGCATGATTGTTGGAGTATACTAGTTACTATTCTAAGTACTTTGTATGTATTATCTCATTTAAACCTCTTTAAACCTCTAAGAGTACCAAGGAAGTAGTCAAATTTCTACTTTACATATATGAGGAAGCTGAGGCAAAAAGAGATTAAATAACTTGCCCAATACTGTATAGCTGTTAAGTGGTAGAGCTAAAATGCAAACCTAAATAATCTGACTCCAAAGGCTGTACTTTTTTGTACTAGAGTATACTGCTTCTTTACTATACCATAACCTCTTTTTTTCTTGTCAGTGTTATAGAACAGGATATATTATTTGTTAACTTAGGTGTCTTGTGGCCTGGCACCTATAACTTTTAAGATATCTTAAATTGTTCTTAACAGATAAACTGGTAATTGTTCAATGTATTTTCAAGTACTTTAAATCTTATAAGAAGAGAAAAATCTGTCATGATGGGAATCACATTTATTTTTTAGATTGGTGAATGTCATTGTTGGCTCCATGTTTAGATTTCTGTATAATTTAAATTTAATGTTTAAATTTACATTGGCATAAATGTAATTTTTTTATTATTAGTTTGGATTTAGGTGGCGAGTAGAAAAAGAAGTCATTTCAGGAAAAGGTAATTCGTTAAAATTTTTACTTTTTAATAGGATGAGCTTATCTTGATAAGTTACTGAATTAGAGTCATTGAGTAAGATCATTCCTAACATATACAATAAATTGTATTCATGATGCATTATTAGCAAAGGTCAGAATATAATGCTTTAATGATTATTACCTTTATAATTTTGCCATTAGAACATTCAGTTGAGGATATGTAGGAAATATTTAACAAATTAAAGATTTCATAGCGAGACAACTTTCAAGAAAAAAGAAAGCTTTATTCTTTTCCTTTCTTTATTAATTTTTGGAATAATGAATTGCTATTACTGTTTTTCAGCCAAATTCACATTGTGAAAGTAGACGTTAAATATCACGTTAAACCTGATAGAATTTTTGGATAGGCTAGTACTCATTTTGGGAAGTCCCTGAGATTGAGCCTAAATACATAGTCTAATAGCAAAAGACCAGACATTTGATAGGCAGTCAATAAATGCTTTGAATATGCCTTATTGTTAATCTATTCATAAAATTTTTCCTGGAAATTGTATATCTCCATACTGTCTCTTGCTGTAAAATTAGCTCCTTACTGAGTAATTGCATTAAGTGTTAAAGTACTGAAAACTATATAGTAGCACTAAGGAAATAATTTTAAACTTACTTTAAGAAATATTTTAAACTGAAAGATTACCTTTTTAAATGATTAAATATTTATGCTATTGCTGTGGCTCATATATGTCTTCCATAAACTGGAAATGTTGGGTGTGAAATTGGATGTACCATAAAAGAACATTAAGGAAAAAGAATAAATTAAAAGAATAAATTTAAAGCTATTTTAACTTTTTTTAGGGTTATATTTTAGTTTGTGTTTTTATCTAAAATAGTGAGAAATCCTGAAACATCTATCACAATTTTAATATGTTGTACTTTTACTGAATGAGATTTTTCAGGTAAGTTTATAATGCTACCTTTTAGAAAAAATTGATGGGCAGTCTCTAAATTTATATAATTTAATAAAGGACAAGTTACGAAAAGGAAAGAAAGCTACTAATGTGATTTCTTTTATAAAGTTATAATTTTGTTGCTGTTTTAACAACAACTTTACCTACTAAACATATAGATCTAATAAAATATTTATTTGGAATGAGTTTAAAAGGCTGATTTAGAAATCAGTCTTTTTAGGATATAACTTTCTAAATTCATTTTGGTAATATTTTTTAAATTTTTATAAAAATGATTTGCTGGTTACAAATTTGCTCCTGTTGGTGCAAATTATTGTGATATAAATTAATAAAAGTTTGGTCTTGTCTTTTTGCCAAAATAAATTACTGTTGAGTTGTTTCTCTTTTTTTCTCTTGGGTCATCAGTTAGTCTTTTTTTGAAGGTTTTAATATATTATGGACATGGTAATGTGTGTCATGTTAATAATAGTGTCAAGTTATTCTAAAATTTAGAGTATCAGGTTTGGCTACATATTGTATTTCACCTCAAAGTGCCAGAATCTTTACATGTGTTTTCAAGGCTATCTATGCTAGTATTTAAAATAAATGTCATTATGTTAATACTTAAAAGTACTAACTTTATTATTGCCATTAAATATTGAAAGGTTTCACCCAGCCATAAGTGCATGTACTTTGGAAAGTGTGTTTTTTCTTTTAGGGTATTTGTGAGTATATTGTTTTTTGTTTGTTTGTTTGTTTGTTTATTTTCTTTAAACCAAATTTCTGAGAAACATGTCCATTCTTTAATACTCTCTTTCCGAAGTGTAAGATTCTCTAATAGGGAGTCACAAAATGTCTGTCTATATACAGTCTATCAAGCAAGAATTCTGTGACTTACTTTTTCGTAACAGTACTTTCATTTGATACTTGTATACAAGTTGGTTGAACATATTATTGTGGTCAGTTTTTAAAGGCTGACTAAATATGGCTAATAATTTACATATTTTAGAAGTATATTTTAGAGAATACTAGATCATACAGATAAATATTGTCACCAACTATCATAGCTAATATTCTTTTCCTTGCTGCAGGTCAATTTGTCTGTGGAAATAAACATTGTGATAAAAAGGAAGGCTTAAAGAGTTGGGAAGTTAATTTTGGTTATACTGAGCATGGTGAAAAGAGAAATGCACTCGTTAAATTAAGTAAGTTGATTTTAGGGGGGATATGATTGATTCTTCCAAGTTTGTCTTTAATTTAAAATAAAAAATGTATAGACTTTAAAATTCAATTATGATTTTTAACATATCTTTCTGGATGTGCTCTTTTTTGTTGGAGCTTCCCAAAGTCTCAAAAAACCTTTGAGCCTCAAATTTTTACATTTTTAGCATTAGAGTGGTGTTTTGGTAAAAAGAATTCTAATGACAAATGTAAACTGGTAATTTGTAGAGTGGAGCTCCGTTCTCATTAACTTGAGAATAAATTCACTCTGTTTGGGAGTATTAATAAAGAAAAACTTTAGGAAAGCATAATTGTTCTTGACATCAGTCTTAAAACCATAGGGAATAAATACTCCAGAATATAGCAGTTTCCCTTAGGATGCATGTTTCAGAGTCTGTCATTCTTTTATTTATTTTTTAAGCTAGTCTTCATGGGTCAACTGTTCTTCTCCATCATCATATTATTGCCTTTAGCCTTCTCTGGGTCCTAAATAAATGTTCCTTCAGAGTTTTCTGCTCATACCTAATAAAATTTGAGAATGTCCCTACATGCTACTTATGCATGTCAATACAGACTGGTTTTGGAGTTCCTTCTGGAAGTGCTCAAGAGGAAAAGTCAGCCAGTGTGGACTAAGATTAAGGCAAAAAAAAAACAAAAACAAAAAAAAAGACCACAATTACAGAACTATTTGAAAAACTACTTTGCATTTGAAAGTTCTTAGAGCACTTCAGAGGAGATGACTATGCCCATATTATCATTAGATATCTTTGATCTGAGACACATGTTAACATGCTTGTGGAACACAGTTTGTTTTTAGAACAAATTGACAACACATTTTTCTACAGTAGTGTTAGAATATTTTCGATTCCTTAAGCATTCTAATAAGTTTATTACATGTACGTGTGTATATATTTGCGTTTTTGAGGAGATGAAGGTTAGATTGTTTTCTTTAGATTGTTTCCCCTTTTATAGTAATGGAATGTAAAGAAAATGAGAATTTATGAAATTAAAAGTAGATTGGCAGTATAAATATTCAAAATTAGCCATTCAGTGGTATCTTTTCTTTTTAGGATTATGCCAAGAATGTTCCATTAAATTAAATTTTCATCACAGGTAATGTCTTCTAAAATGCCATTCTTAACGTTTAGTAATCCAGGATATAGTCATTTACCTGCACTAAGTGTCTAAATGTAGACTCGAGTAGTTGATGGTTGAATTGATTGATTGTGTAGAAAATCTGGTATTGTTATATGGCTACATAAACCAGGGGTTTAGAAGTCCGTCATGCCCTATTCCTGCCAAGCAGTTTTAAATGTGAAGGCCTGTCTGGGGTGGTAGATGGATGTTAAAATTTTTAGTTTGGAGCCAATGTTCAGACACTTTAATATTAGAAATTGTGTTGTAAAGCAGACTTCATAAAGCAGTTCTTGTGTCTCATTTAGACAGTGTTTTAACTGGAGTTTGCCTTTCTTACAAAGGATTAGACACCTCTATACTTAAGTGTTAAACTCAAGGCCAGGCGCAGTGGCTCATGCCTGTAATCCCAGCACTTGGGGAGGCCAACGTGGGTGGATCAGTTGAGGTCAGAAGTTCAAGACCATCCAGCCCAACATGGTGAAACCCCATCTGTACTGAAAATACAGAAATTAACTGGGCATGGTGGTGGTGGGTGCCTGTAATCCCAGCTACTGGGGTGGCTGAGGCAGGAGAATTGCTTGAATCTGAGAGGCGGAGGTTGCAGTGAGGTGCATTCCAGCCTAGCAACAGAGAGAAATTCTGTCTCAAACAAACAAACAAAAAGTTAAAATCAAGCTCCTATTGAATGAGCTCTAATGTATCTGCCACATGAATGTGTAGGAATACCAGTGTCCTGCAGTATATATAAGATCATGGGCTTTGAAATCAGACCTGGGTTTTTAATTTCAGCTTTTTGGCTTACTAGGCTTCTTCTTGGGCAGACAGCTTAACCTCTGTAAGACTCAATTTTATCACCTGTAAAAATAAGGCTACTAAGGCTGTTGTGGGAAATAAAAGAAAATGCATGTAAAGTTCTTGCCATAGTGCCTGGCATTGAAGATGTTCAGACAATTTTTGCGACTTGCCTTTGTGATGGTCAGGTTTTATGCCCTAAATAACAGTTAAAAGTTCAACTCTTGCAACTTTATAAAATATATACATAAGCATCCTAACTTTAAAATGGCTTTCTTTGTTTTCAGTCACATGGATTTGTCAAAAAATAACAGCTTTGTTATAAATGTGCCTATATAGCATTTTAGCTGTTAAATGTTAAATAATATTTTTAATTCTTAAAATTAGCAGGATTATTTTTATTATTTTCATTATTCTTTATTTTTTTGAGACAATGTCTCACTCTATTGCCCAGGCCGGAGCACAGTGGTGTGATCATGGCTCATTGCAGTCTTAGCCTTCTGTGCTCAAGTGATTCTCCCACCTCAGCTTCCAGAGTAGGTAAGACTACAGGCATATGTCACCACACTTGGCTATTTTTTTTTTAAGTTTTTGTAGAGATGGTGTTTCCCTTTGTTGCTCAGGCCGATCTTGAACTCCTGGACTCAAGCAATCCTCCTGCCTCAGCCTCCCAAAGTGCTGGGATGATAGGCATAAGCCTCTACACCCAGCCAGGATTTTTTTTAGATTACTTGAATGGCCTAAACCTTTATTTTTCCTTCCCATCGATGATATTTAAAGAAACCAGAGATTTATTTTGACCTTGACTTTTGAGCTTCATTTCAAAATGGAAATGATTCTTACAAAAGAGGCAAGAGGGGTTACTGCATTAAATACTATTATAGCATTTGGTATATGCACTTTAACTTGGAAAATCTGTTAAGCAAGTTTTTTGAAAGTAATCTTTCTCTTTGTCTCTATCCTCCTTGCCAGTCCCAATTTCAGCATTATCACCTTTTCCTGTTTAGTATTTCTTTTCTTAACCTATTAAAATTAATTGCTTGCTAACCTTGTAAACCTGGCCTAGAAGAGATAAAGCTGCAACAGTAACAGTATAAATTATAAGTGGCCTGATGTTGATATATGCATTAACAATAAGCCCTTTCCATTTTCATTCCGTATGCTTTTACTATATTCCTTTATTATTAAAAGAAGAAATTTTTATTTACTGGTAGTTTAGAGCTGTTAACAGCAGTTTCATCTTGTTTGTGCTTTTAAACATGTAAATGGATATGGATTATGTGAAGAGAAATGAGATTTGTTTTTATAATTTCGTTTTAAATGGCTAAGTGATAGAATATAGAAAGAAAGAAACAAGTACAGTTATAATTTGTATTTACTAAAGTTTAATGGGACTTAGAGAAAACAATTACTTGTCTCAGTGTTTAGACATCATTATCTTACAGAATGGTTTTAATTAATATACTGGCCTAAAATATTCACAGACTCACTTAAGTTTCCTTATTATGTGAATTACACTTAAAAAATAAGTATTTTAACTGATTTTTGGTTTTGTTCATTGGTTTTTATTTTTGAAAAGGTCAGTTGGAAAAGTTAACTTTAATTTTTTATTGTTAACATGAAGGAGAAAAGAAATCAAGTCAAAGAAAAGAAAAGATAAAACCAAAAAAGATAGCGAAGAGTCATCACATAAAAAATCCAGATTATCTTCTGCAGAAGAGGTTTCCAAGAAAAAAGATAAAGGTAAAAGGAAATTAAGATAAGGGATCTACTCGTATTTATGAGCATGAAATATAATCTGCTGTATTTCATTCATATAATTGGTGAATGCATTTAGAACTTCGTTTTATGGTAGTTGAAAGGAAACTGGCTGAGAATTTAGATATGAATTTAAAGTGACTTACAGAAGTTTTAAGAACTCCTGTAAGTTAATTAAGGGTTAATTTTAGTTCATTTTTGGCAAATATTATAATATTGCCAGTAGTTTTCTAATTCCTGGCTTTGTCACCTATAGACTTGTTACTTTGGATAAGTTTTTGAACTGCTCTATTTTTCTTATGTATATAGGGGTGAGGTGAATACCTGGCCTTCATACTGGGCAAGTTTATTGGAGAAACTCAAACAAGAATGTGAAAGGCATTTTGAACAGTGCCTTTAAACAGTCTATCATCTATAAATTGTACCACTGATTTTATTTATAATGGTCTACAGATTTTTTTTTCCCTAGCTTATGAGTTTCTAGAAATGAGAAAGATTGACATATGTCTGTGCTCTCAGAACCTAGCATGGTGCTGTACACATATACTTAGTAAATAATTATTAAATTCAAGTTCATTAATCAACTGCTTGCTTTTTCCTCAGCAGTCCTTAAGCCCTCTAAGACTCACTTCCTTTGTGTGTAAAATGGTCATGATTCATTTTAGAATTGTTCAGAAGTTGAAATGAGATAATTCATTAAGCAGCTTGCATAATACTTGGCACATATTAGCTATTATGAAAGTACTTTTAGTTGCTTTTTTAGCCCATAATAAAGTAGATAGATAATCAAATTAGATTCAAGCCAATGTTAATATAATATTTGGACAGGAGAGGGCTCTCTTGCTTCAGCTATGAAGGTCATTAGATAGGTTGCTTTCTTAGAAGCATTTACTTCTTCTTGCACATCATGATTTATTCATTATGTAGACAGAGTTTAAATCTACAAGTCCTTGTGATCCCGTCTACTCCCATAGCTTCAAGTATATGGTGTCACCAAGCTTTAGACTTCGTAAAATTGATGGATGGTGAGAGGACGATACTGTGTTATTTTAATTGCTTATTAAGAGATAGCATTTGTTGCAGAATGCCTTTTTGTCTCTATCTTAATTATTTCCTACTGTAAGGTAAATTTTAACCAATAAAAGTTAAAAATATCTTTTGAGTTTTAAAAACTTATCCTCATATGCTAGTAAAATATTAATGTCACTTAGAAATTTGTTGCCTTCATTGTGTTATATGTTCATTCTTATCACAACTGTGATACCATGTTAATCACTGCATATTCCAAATGAAAGAATTCATCTCTACTTTATAAAATGTTAGTACAATCAGAATAGATTGGGTAGATGAATACTCAGGTTCAGGGCTGGGATTGCACCCTTCATATTAAGCATAAATATGCATGCGATCTTCCTTATAGATATTTTTCCTGTTGTGTTTCATCAGTAGATGACACTTAAATGTTGACCTAAAAACTAATATCAGAAATCTGGGGGTTATCCTTGATACTTTCTTTTTCCTTATTACTTATGTTTAATTCGTCATCAAGGTCTGTGAATTTTACCCACAGAGTATATATCTCTCAGGTTCTGTCCACCCTACTGCAAACCGCTGTACTTTCTCTTATGGGCTACTGTTACATTGTCCTTACGGGTTCCACCACTGTCTTGCCATCCCACCTTCCCTCCTCTTAATCCAATCTCCATAAATTAATGGTTTCCTGATGTCTTTAGGCTGGTAACCAAAATCCTGGACAAAGCTAAAAGGTTCTGTGTGATCCAGAACTTGTGTACCATACAAGTCTTGTTTCTCACCACTCCGTACCTCACTTTCACACTCCCCCCATGTAGCCTTTCAGTCTGGAAATGCCAAGCGTCTTTCAATTTTAGGGGTTATATGGATGCTGTGTCTTCTCTTCCTAAAACTCTCAGTTCTATCCCAGCCCATCCCTCAGGTCTAAGCTCTTAAATGTCATTTCCAAGGATCCTTTCCTGATTTCATCCCCCACCTTGAATCTAAGTTATGACTCTCATTTGTAATGCTGTCATGGCTCCTGACACTTTCCATTATTACATTCATGACAATGTAAAAGACAAAGAGAAGCAGAGATTCTGCCTGCTTTGTTCATTGCTATGTCCCTAGCACCCCACTAGCTCATCCGTGTTCAGCATAAATAATAAAGAATGAGAGAATAAAAGACTTTGAAGATTCTTCAGGGATGGAAAACCAAAGCAGGATGGAATTGAGACATCTGTTTTTTATTCTCTATTTAGAGTGCCTTTGAGATTAAAGTCTCTAGAAATACAGCTTTTTTACCCCCAACTTCTATGGCATATAACAGAAAATAACAAAATTTTAGCAAACTTAGGAAAACCGTGTGGAACTCTTTAATGTTTTATCTGGGATCATCCAGAATTAGCTTTATCATTGACTTGATTCTTTCTTGCCAGACCACCTTAATTTGGATCAAACTTGAAGAGTAGTTAATAAATGCTTAACATCTCAGCTGTATTTGGACTATTGACATGCCTCAAAACTACTTCCTTTAATTTTATTTCTATCTTTCTGGCTTCTCCTTAACTGATGCTTTTTATTTATTATTTATTTTTTATTTTTTATTTTTTTAAGGACAGGGTTTTGTTCTGACACCCAAGCCCCAGGCTGGAGTACTGGAATACAGAGGCATAATCTTGGCTCACTGCAGCCTTAACCTCTGGGGCCCAAGTGTCCTCCTTCTTCACCCTCCCAAGTAACTGGGACTATAGGCCCACACTACCACACTAAGCTAATTTTTTTATTTTTATGCAGAGACAGGGTCTTGCTGTTTCCCAGACTGGTCTCAAACTCCTGGCCTCAAGCAGTCCTCTCACCTTGGCCTCCCAAAGTGCTGGGGTTACCAGCATGAGCCACCACACCTGATCTCCTTAACTGCTTTTAACTGAAGTTCCTCCTCAGTCTTACTCTTAGCTATTAGAGTTCCTCAGAGCTCTTACCTAGACTTCTCTAGTTTCTCTCTGTACTCTCAGTGTGATCCCATCAACTCTCATAGCTTTAGGTTACCATCTTAGAAAATGTTAAATAAGTAATAGGTGGATGACTAGATAGCTGAATGAAAGGATAGAGAGAAAAAGTAAGAAAGATCAATAGCTGACTTTAAGGACCAGCCTGCTTTGACAGGTATGGGGAGAACAAGATACTTAGGTAGACTGTCTTGGCAAAATGTTCAGAATCTTATCCCTTTCACCATCACCCCTTTCCCCCAAAGCTACCTCATCCTTCAAGTTTCAGCTTAGGTCATTTCCTTGGAAAGGCCCTTCCTGACACCCTTCACCTCACTTCTCCAAATAAGATTAGGTTCCTGTAACACGTTCCAATAATACCTGTCACTTCCTTAGAAATACATAGTATTCTTAGAATAATTTGTTTATTTTCTGTGAGAGAAGGGACTATGTGACATGTGTACTTCATTATCTCTAATTCCTGATAGTGCTTGGTCCTGTAGTAGGCATTCAATAAATGTAGGTGAGTGAATCACTGAATTCAACCACATTTTTTCAAAGTTGAAAGGAACCTCAGAGATTAACACTGGAATCAGGATTGGGTGTTCTTTAGTTTCGCTTTTCAAAGTGTGGTCCTCTGGCCAGCATTTGGGAACTTGTTAGCAACTCACAGTCTCAGACCCTTCCAGGTCTACTAACAAGTTCCCAGGGTGATTCATATGCACTGAAGTTTGAGAGAGGCAGTGCTGTATATCATGTGATTATTCTGCATCGGTTCAACATTTCCAGGGAAAAGGAACCCACTACTATCAAAAATAATGCTTTACATTTTCAGGTAGTTGTAATTGCTTGCATGTTTCTCTTAACATTCGGCCCAAATCTACAGCTTCCTCCCTTTGGTTCTAATTATGTCCTTGGGCCTCCAAATCAGGACTAATGTCTTTTTAATTATTGGCCTTTGGATATTGGAAAGCAGTATCATGTTTCTCATTACAGGATGACAGGAAAGAATACATTTCTTATTTCCTTACCCTGTAGTTCTTGTGCTCTTCATCTGGTGTAAAGGGGCCAAAAACTTTGGGTTATGAGGTCTCCTATCCAGGAACATCAGAGGAATTGTTACTGTCCATCTGTCACCTGCCCTTTTTTACTTTATCATCCCTCAGAAATATTTTCCCTGAGGTCTTATTGCAGGAAGCTCTGTATAGTGGTGATTTTTTAAAAAAAATTTCACTGATAGAACAGTGCCTTTCTCTTTTTGTTTCTCTCACTGGATAACCATTGTAGAGCTGAGAATTTTTGTTTTATGACATAATTGTATGTGTTCTTATCAGTTACTGAGAACTTATGCTCATCTATATCTGACCTTAGAAAAGATATTGTAAAAAGCAAGTGTTTGTTTATAAACTGCTTTCAAACGTTGAACATCTTTATAGATAATTAATTATTGCTTATATTGCAGCTAATATGTGAGGTTTTCTTTTGAGCAATATGAGATTTTGGGTTTTTTGCAGGTACTCATTATTTTTTAAGTTTTGTGCTGGCTATTACAGACCATGTGAGAACATAAGATATGATCCCTGCCTAAAAGAACATTTTAATTAGGGAGATAAGACTACAGAACATGAAAGATTAGAACACAGTGAAGTGCTTATCTGTAAGACTGTAAGCAACTTAGAATATTGCTAAGAATTCTGGTTACAACTACAATGATTGTACTGCCACAAGATGATACTTAATAAGTGAATGATGTTTCCTTTTCAAAAGGGCATTCATCTTCAAAGAAATCAGAAGATTCTCTAAATAGTAAGTAACAAGTATTTATTTAATAAAAATATGAATTTGAGGTATTTGCAATTTGGATTTCCCGTGAATTGCATCTTGCTCTGACGTGAATTATTTTTTGTTTTTGTGAATTATTTTTGTACATGAGAAAAACTGTAGAAAAAAGCCCGAAAGTGTATATGATTTATTCCCCAATTAAGGATATTAAGTTTCTTAAATATAGAGAGCCTTAAAAAATTTTCCAGTGTATACAATGGATATATCTTTCAATTTCATGTATAAAATGTGAAGGAAGAAAAATAAAGGGATGAGGTTGTAACGGATTTAAATTAGTCCTATGGTTTTCACTAGTTTGGATCAAAACAGATTGGTTTTCATTGAGTATTTGCTGCAAATTTTATTTTTCCCTGCAACATTCTAAAAAGTATTCACAATGACTTACAAAAACATACACAATAAGTTTTTTAAGGTTAAAAAAGTCAGAATAATGGGAAAATAAGGGAGAATAGCAATTTAAAGCTACAGGTGAAATGGATACACACAAATGTATACCCCAAAGTCCTGCATAATTGCAAAGATAGATCACAGATTTGTCCATGTTCTGCCTAACAACCAAACCTAAGAGTGAAACCTGCAGTAGAAATATTAATTGTACCCATAAGATCATAATGAGAACTCCTAGAGTGTTCGGCTTTTTCCTGGCAGTTTTGAGAGAAGAGTCTTCTGTGGGTTTGTAAAAGGGGACACCTATTTGCGTCATAACAAACAGTAGCTTTGAATCTAAGCAGTAATACAATGTTGAATTTTTTAAAGACTTGTGGTAGGTTCAAGGCCTACTAATAAGGTGTAGTTCAATAGCATATCTAATTCATTTTATACTCTCTGGACTGATTTCGTAGAAATTTAGAAACTTGAGATTTCTAGGCTTACTTGCTTATTTATAAACCTAAGAATTAAAAAAAAAATTTTTTTTCTGACTTTAAAATAATGAGTATTTATTGTGGCAAACTCAGGGGAAAAAGTTTGATAATTATTCCAAATTCCACAACTCAAATATAAACATTATATGCATTTAGTGTAATTCTTAACAAGAAATTTTAAATATTCAATGATCAGAAATTTTACACTGAGAAAAATAGAAATTTAAGATAGTTGTTTAACAATTTAGTGGAGAGGGAGATGTTGATGGAGGTATTCCTCTAACTTAGGAATATAGTATATTCCTTATAATTATTTTGCTTGTACCAACTTTGTTTTCAACATATTTGAAGTATCTTAAAGCACTGACACTTTCTCCCCATGTAAATTCTAATTTATCAGGAGGTCCTTTCCTAAATTAGGTGAAATGTAGTGACAATTTCAGAAATACAGCCAGATATAAGGCCAGTGGACCAATGTTAGCTCAGGATGAAATCACAGATACGTACGTATACAGACTAAAGTGGGAAAGTGTATTTTAGTTTTCATCCATTTCCAACAATGAGAGGTGTGAATGCTTATGTAATGTAGAAAAAAATTCCCCTTTTTCAGTTCTAATTTTTTAGTATTAAAAAATATTATGGGAGAAATTCTTGAATTACTGATGTATGTTATTCTTTTATTTCTTCTGCCTGCCTTCTCCCTCCCACTGTCTTTCACCCCTGCCCTCTGAATCCTTCCCTGCCTCCTAGAAATAACCCTTAACTCTCTTTTACCTCTCCTCAACTAAGTGAAATTTTTACTAGTAGAAGCAGGGTGAATACTGTGAAGACTATATCCAATCTGAAAAACCTCTAGCTTAATTTGGCCTTGAAAAAAAACAAATTATCCATTTCAAGCTGACCTGCTATTTGGCAGCCAGAAAGCTATTTACAGTAGCAAGCAGGAAACGTTGACATTGTTATGGTATGCCAACCCCAAATATCCTCTCAGGCAGTCAGCCATCTGTATTGCATGGTCTTGGCAATTTCAGACATCGCATTTTGCTATTTGTTTTATTTCCATTTGGATAATACTCAGTTACCTTCTTAACCCATTTAACATATGGATTATTAAAACCATTTGCCAGTGATGCATTCTTTTGTGTTGCCTGTTCTTCCAATTGTTCTTTCCTTAGTAATACCCATCCCGCCTCTGGTACGTTGTAACAGTTATGATAGCAATGATGTGTAATGACTGCCAACCTTCAGGGAACCAGGATACTGTAGATTCATAGGGTTATAAGGGACCATAAAGGTCATTTAGTCCAGTCTTGTAGACTTGATTCTCTAAGGATATCTGGCCACATTTTTAATGGGTATTTTTAAAGACAGTTGTTTTATAGTGTTACTCTAAACTGAGTTGATTTTTTAGTAAAATTGATTGACTGATATCAGAAAACTGGTGTAAGAAAGCTGGCATGTGGGGAGTACTCTTGGAAGGGAATAAGAAAACAGAGTCAGGCCGGGCGCAGTGACTCAAGCCTGTAATCCCAGCACTTTGGGAGGCCGAGGCGGGTGGATCACAAGGTCAAGAGATCGAGACCATCCTGGTCAACATGGTGAAACCCCGTCTCTACTGAAAAATCCAAAAAAATTAGCTGGGCATGGTGGCGCGTGCCTGTAATCCCAGCTACTCAGGAGGCTGAGGCAGGAGAATTGCCTGAACCTGGGAGGCGGAGGTTGCGGTGAGCCGAGATCGCGCCATTGCACTCCAGCCTGGGTAACAAGCGAAACTCCGTCTCAAAAAAAAAAAAAAAAAAAAGAAAACAGTCAATCCTTTTGAAATTAGCTGTCCACTTCTAAAGGCCTTGTAGGTTTTGTTCTCTGGCATCATTAACAGAGTAACACTGTAGTAATAACCTTACTAGCCTAATTAGTTTTTCTATGTTTTATCTCATATTAGTGAGTTTTCATAAAAATAAGAGAAGATTCTTACTCTTTTTCCCTCATATTGTAAATTTGGGACACTGACCATTCCAGTGATGGCAGTCATTGAGCCAGGAATCTTGTTTTCAAGACTGAAATTTTATCATTTGTATGTAGATCATTAGAATACAAAATGCCCTCTCCCCTTTTGCTATTTTTGCTAGAATTGGTGCCAGAATAGATTCAGATAGGAGCAAAGTTCAGACACACATGTTGATTCAAGGTTCAGAGTCCAACGGGTAAAAGGCTAGAACCACCATAACAAATCAATGCTGTTTTATTTTTATGTTGTGTTTAACTAAAGGACATTCTATATTGACAGGCCACATTTGTGCCATTTCTTTTTTAGACTAATAGTTGTTATTGGAGAGGAATTTTTTGCTGATTTAACGACTTTGTGGAATATGGTGTTATTGCCTGATAATTTTGCAGTATTTTTAAATTTTTAGTTGACTAATAAAGGTGGTTTATTTGACATATCTCTATTTTGTTATGTTTTTATAAATAAAATATTGCTTTTACTGATTTTGAGGGTAATACATGCTCTTTGTTTAAAATACAAATAATTTAGAAATGTTTAAAATAGAAAGTAAAAGTATTCTAAACCCACAGGTAATATAATCACTGTTACGTTTGGTTGGTTTTTGCAAACTTATAATACATATATAAAATTACATGTATGTATATAACATGTATATACTTTTAACATATATATTATACTATTCATACTTTTTGTAACTTTTTAAAAATTTAATATAGAATGGACATTTTTCTATGGCAGTACATACAGATATGCTGATATTTTTAAACAGCTGTATAGTATTTAACCAGTCCTTAATCCCTAATTCGTGGTAATTTAGGTTGGATTTTTTTGTTGTTGTTATACCATGTGCATCTTTGTACATATGTATCAGAGGTGCTTATTTATCTATGTAAATAATCAAATTCCCAAAAGCAGTATTGCTGGTCAAAGGGTATGTGTTTTAAACTGATTTAAAACATATTGCCAGATTTTCCTCAAGAAGGTTTACAGAATTTTCACTCCCAGCAATGTGTGAGAATGCCAGATTCTTCACTGAAACAGGCTTCTTCCAATTATGTAATCAGCATTGGTTTTTTAAAATGTCTGACAATTAAAAAATAATAATTTAACTAGCTGGGCTTACATACTAGCTCAGTTCTTAAGGTGCTAATTCTAATGTAAACATGTTCTCTACAAGTGTAAATCTTAACTTGCATGTCTTCTGTGAAACCAAGAAAAAGAAACTAGATCAGAGACAACTATATTGCAAGAGATAATTCACTTACAAAAGTTAATATTGGAATTGCTACTTTAACTCAGTGTAACTTAGAGAAGTTTCCATGAGACTTAAAAATCCTTGGCCTTTTTGCTGAGACTCTGGTATTTCTTGGCTTATTTATATATGTTTTAAAAGAATTTATCATACCTGTGAGAGTGAATTAAACTTCTGGAAAGCCATAAAAGTTGAAGCTCAGTTAAATAAAAAGTTAATTGTATTGGTAAATAGTTAAAAATGTGTTTTAAGTATAATACATTTTAAAAAATCATCCCTTTTAAATTAACAGGAAACTCTGATAAGGAAGAAAATACTTCAGAATCTGAACTTTGGAAGGGTCCACTACCAGAGACAGATGAAAAATCACAGTAAGTACTGATGTTAATAGATAATACGTACCTTTTTTTTTTTTTTTTTTTGGTAAAGACAGAGTCTCCCTCTGTCACCCAGGGTGGAGTGCAGTGGCACAATCTCAGCTCACTGCAACCTCCACCTGCCAGGTTCAAGCAATTCTCCTGCCTCAGCCTCCTGAGTAGCTGGGACTACAGGTGCACACTGCCACACCCACCTAATTTCTTTTGGATAATACGTACGTTTTAAATCAGTTTAGAAGCTATAACCACTGCCTTATTGATGAAAAAATATAACATCATGATGATCTGTTTAATACCCAGGACTGCCTAGCCTGGTAAGATTAGACCTTATTCCCAGCCATTGTCATAAGCAGCCAACACATCCAGCTTCCTCCTGGTAAATAAATCTTTGATCAGTTCACTTTAAAATATGACCTTCTGGTCCTTACTTGGATTTCTTCAGAGATGGCTGTATTGGAGAAGCCTATTCCATGATACTGTGATTATCGTAAACCTATGCAGCGGAGCCCCTTGCATGGGAAGTACGCTTCTAGTTTTTGTACGTCACACTAGTTTTTGTTTTAAAAAAATAAAACAGTATATCTACTGCTATGAATACATAATATATTTACTATGCTCAGAGTAGTAAAAGAACTACAGCCTAAGCAGATTTACCCAACTCTCCTTAGTTATTCCCCAATGTAACCTAGACTTATTTTTCTTTAAAAATAGTTTTTAAAATTTATTTATTGAGGAGACTATAGTTTAAAATGAGAATGAACAGAGAAGTGATAAAGTAAGACCAAAAAGTAAAGAGAAGCAATGACATTTCACAAGTATTTCAAAACAAAATTTTGAGTAATACATTTAGGGAGAGGTGCCAACATACAAAATATTTTTATTTTAATCTGGGTATAGTTATGATTGTTCTAGAAACTAAGAATTATTTGATGGCTGAATCGTGAGAATATATTGATATACAGCAGAATCAGCTAATATGTTGACTTAAAGTATTTTATTTTATTAATCTTATATAATGTGTCATGTAGTAGTTTTTTACTCTAATTATTGATCTTAATATGTATGCTTTTTTTAAAAATAGAGAAGAAGAATTCGATGAGTATTTTCAGGACTTGTTTCTGTGAGACGAGAGAAAGAAGCCTCTGCTCCTTAATGTGAAACGTTATAAAGTTTTAAACTTCAGACACTTTGAAATTTTATGTAAGTTTTTATCTGCAAATTACAGCTTGTGTGGTTTGTCTTTAGAAATAAAAATCCAGGTTCTCTCATGTCAGTTACTTTGGAAATTCATTAGTTCAATTAAAGACTTCCCTATCCTTTAAACATCTTTTCAATTGCTTCTCTACAATTCTGTTTTATCTGTAGCTCCTAGGGGATAGAGCTCATACTCTGTACAGAATCCATTGTTCCTATATTTTTTTTCACTGATTTATATTTATCTTCTCTTGCCTTCGTTTTTTTTTTAATTATTTTTTCTTTTTTTTAAGCCACTATATTGGATTTATTTGTTTATTTTTCATTTTTTTCTTTTGTAGAAGCAGAGTCCTCCTGTGTTGCCCAGGGTGGTATTCAAACTCCTGGTTTTACGAATTCCTCCCACCCTGGCCTCCCAAAGTGCTGGGATCACAGGTGTGAGCCACTGCGCTCTGCCAATTATTTTAAATTACTAGGATTAAAGTAGATTATATATGTCTTCTTTCTTTCCCATTGATAAACTGGCACCCTTCTATTAAGCACCTGCTTTCCCACCTATTTCCAGCTACTTTTTGGGTTTTTTTTGCTTGCCTATCTCTTGCTTCCTTCTTACCTCGACCACTTAAGAGAGTTTGTTATAATCAAATTTGACTTCTTAGCCTGTGGACAATTTACTGTTAAGTAAATGATTACCAGAGGGAGCGAATGACGTCCTAGAAGTCTAAAATAGTGCATGTGTTCACAAAATTGACTCTCCAACAGAGATTATGCAATGAGATAATTTAACTGAATAATACTGTGTGCGTATAGCTTACCTTGGATACACTCATACAATTATGAATATACTTCTGATACGGTTTGGCTCTGTGTCCCCACCCAAATCTCATCTTGAATGTGTACTCTCAAAATTCCCACGTGTTATGGGAGGGACCCAATGGGAGATAATCTGAATCAAGGGGACCGTTTCTCCATACTGTTCTCATGGTAGTCAGTAAGTGTCATGAGATCTGATGGTTTTATCAGGGGCTTCTGCTTTTGCATCCTTCTCATTTTCTTTTGCTGCTGCCATGTAAGAAGTACCTTTTGCCTCCCACCATGATTCTGAAGCTTCCCCGGCCATGTGGAACTGTAAGTCCAATTACAGTTTTTTTTCTTCTCAGTCTTGGGTATGTCTTTATCAGCAGCATGAAAATGGACTAATACATCTTCTATGCAGAAATATATTACAAAATGCAACTTTTTAACATAAGGTTTTACTCATAAGGGTCTGTGGGGATGCTTCAGGGGATCCATGCCTTTTTAGAATCTATATGTAAACTTTTGTGTCTGTGATATGTTTTTTGGAGGAAGTCCATAAATGTCAAATTTTCAAAAATCAAATTTTCAAAAGGATTTATTGATTTCTGAAACCTGCTTTTATAAAGAGCAAATAGATGGATAGATATAGGATAAGATGCTTTACTTAATGAATAAGAGAAAAAACATATAGAAAATGATCGTAACATAAGTATTTTATTGAAGATTTAAACATGGAATGATTGGCATTAAACTCCAAAATAAATAATTTGGTATCTTATTTTAAAATGATTATTATCAGGTATTTTCATTTTATTAAACAGTTGTTAGTTATTCCACAAATATTTATCAGGCTTCTATTATGTGTTAGGCACTGAGCGGGGCTTGTCTGTAAAGGAGCTAGCTGGGAAGTAATTATGCAATCATTTCTTAACCTCTTTCAGAAAAGTAAATCAGTGTTGGGTTTATCAGTATTTAACATTGTTTGATAGTCCCCTCACTTTAAGAAACTGATTTTTTTTCACCTCATACTTATAGTGTATAAAAACGAATCTACATTTCTGAGGAAAAAGTGTTTGAAATGTCCAGCAGCAAGATTGATATCCGTGGTAGAATATATGCAGTTAAACATTCTTATGGTAAAATATGTCCTTCGTTTAGTGGTTGTCGGGAAATAAAATTCCTGCAAAATTAAATTAGGAATTTAGGAAGAATATATAAAGACCCCTTAAAAATAGATCAGTATATTTGGTATTTCAAGTATGGTTTATGACATCAGGCTCATTTATAAATTTATATAAAATCACAACATTTAATTCATTCATACACAATGACAGATAATGGGGGTCATGTTTTTCAGGAGTCTTGAAAAGGCCTCTAACATGATGAGTTTAAAAAGTAATCCTCCTACATATCTATCTCAAACTTTGCTATCGTGCAGTCAGTGGTGGTCAGCAGACCATTGGTCTGGGGTGTTGAAGTTTATGCTTTCTTATACTTGCTCTTATACAGAGTTCATGTATTTGGCAGACCTTCAGTGGTGGACACCTCTGCCCTCCAAACAATTTCTGGTGACTAAGGAGTGGAAGTTGTTTGAGCCGACTGATATTTTGGAGTCCAAAATTACATAGGGCTAAAGGAATATAAAGTTTCTTACTTGGCTTTTAAAATAATAGTGATTCTGGAAGTGGAGTTTCAAAATTATCCTAAGTAATGGAAATAAGGGAGCATGCATCACTTAGCTAAGTTGATTAATAAACACTCATTTGAGTGTACATATGACTTACTGTCATACCTTATTTATATCTGTTGTAACATTTATTCACAGTAGTATTCATATTACTGAGTGCCTACCTTGTGCCAGGCACTGCTCTAGGTGCCAAGATAAAGCTGTGAACAAAATAGACAAAAATCTTTCCTCATGAACTTTACATTCTAATGTGAGAGAAACAGTCTTAAAATTCTAAGTACCTAACTTTTAAAAATCAAACAAATGGTGATTCATTTCTTGGCTGCTCAAAATTGATACAGGTTCATTACAAAAGACATAGGTTCATTGATCTTCAATTCATTAGAATGTAGATAGCTTTTTTTTTTTTTTTTTTTTTTTTTTTTTTTTTTTTTTTTGAGACGGAGTTTCGCCCTTGTTACCCAGGCTGGAGTGCAATGGCGCGATCTCGGCTCACCGCAACCTCCGCCTCCTGGGCTCAGGCAATTCTCCTGCCTCAGCCTCCTGAGTAGCTGGGATTACAGGCACGTGCCACCATGCCCAGCTAATTTTTTGCACTTTTAGTAGAGACGGGGTTTCACCATGTTGACCAGGATGGTCTCGATCTCTCGACCTCGTGATCCACCCGCCTCGGCCTCCCAAAGTGCTGGGATTACAGGCTTGAGCCACCGCACCCGGCCTAGAATGTAGATAGCTTTTAACCAAAAAAACTATGACAAAACATATGGCATAATTATATTATTTCTATTTCCTAATTTTATCTATGATAATAGCTAAGTAAAGGAAGAAATCTTCAATTTCTGTGATATCCAGACAGACATACGCCATGCAGTGGAAGTAGTTGATTGCCCTTAGTTTCTCTTAACAGTTTAATATTTAGAATGCCTGGTAAGTAGTTCTTTTAATCATATTTAGAAAGTAATCTTGGCTGAAGATTTTCCTCACCATTTTTGGTAAGGAAGTTCTTGCATAATCCAATCACATGCTTCTTAATGCATAATATTCATTAGCTGCTTTAACTTGCATTGGGATTATCCAGTTAGTATCTTGTGCTTTGATAATCCTTTTAATGAATAGTTCTGAACCATAAAAAAATATTCTTAGTTACACATAAAATAATTGATTTCAAACTTTGAAGGAGGAGTATAGGACAAAGGCATAGTTTTAATAAACTGCCAAAAAATGGTTTGGTCTTCATCATTCTATTATCAAGAGTAAAAGTAGAGGAAAGAGATAATAAGCATTTCAGAGGGAATAACATTGAATAAAAATGATATTACTTTGTTTTCTATACCATATTTACAACACTATACATTCTATATTGCGTTTACCCTTTCATTAAGACATATTGAAAGATTTTAGTTCAGGGAGTGGCTTGAGGTATGAATCACAATTGTAAATGTTATGGGTGAATTGTGTCTCCCCCACCCCCCACCTATTTCCTATGTTTAAGTCATAATTCCCAGTACTTCAGAATGTGACTGTATTTGGAGATAAGGCCATTAATGAGGTAATTTAAGACTAAAATGAGGTCACGCGCGTGGGCCCTAATCCAATCCTACTGGAGTCCTAATAAGAAAAGGAGATTAGGACACAGCCACACAGAGGGATGACCATGTAAAGACACAGGGAGAAGATGGCCATCTGCAAACCAAGTTGAGAGGCCTCACAAGACACCAATCCTGCCAACTCCTTGATCTTGAACTTCCAGCCCCCAAGACTGTGAGAAAATACACTTTTATTGGTTAAGCACCCAGCCTGTGGTACTTTGTTATGGCAGCTTTAGCAAATAAATACAATTAATGTTTGAAAAAATAATTTGTGACTAGTTTCAGGATTGCATATTTTTTAATTTAAAATAAATTGGCACCAAAAATGTACCCATTTTTGTCATATTTTGTACTTTTGTTGAACTTTATTTTGCCCTTGGGGTTTTTGGGCTAGCAATATATATTTTCCTCATAGTCAAAGGGTAGTTTTTCTGAAGATTCTCTTACTCTGTTACTTGATGATTTGCTGAAGTTCTTTTGAATATTTTCTGGTTTTCTTCAAAGGTACAATGATATTTGAAGTTTAGACCGCTGAGATTATATTATAACATTAAACATGTTTTGGACTTCTTATCATCACCACCTCCTGCATCTTCAGCAGCTAGTAAAATAAAGGAAAGCAATATTATTAGGAGGTAGTGGATATATAGTGTTTTCATTCTAACACTCCCATGATAGTAGTGTCAACTTTATAGACTGATTAGTAATTTTAACCTAGCAAGTACTGTGGGTTTGACCACGTAAAAACTTGAATTCATATTTAGAGTTGGTCCACTTAAAAAATAGAATCTGGGTTGGGCGCAGTGGTTCATGCCTATAATCCCAGCACTTTGGGAGGCCAAGGCAGGTGGATCCCTTGAGGTCAGGAGTGTGAGACCAGCCTGGCCAACATGATGAAACCCTGTTTCTACTAAAAATATAAAAATTAGCTGAGTATGGTGGTGTGCGCCTGTAATCCTAGCTACTCAGGAGGCTGAGGTGGGAGGATTGCTTGAATCAGGGTGGCAGGGGTTGCAATGAACTAAGATCATGCCATTGCACTCCAGCCTGGGCAACAGAGTGAATGAGACTCCGTCTCAGAAAAATAATAGAATCTGATAAATGGTTGGCCAATAACATCTTAGTTTTTTACTGAGACAATGCAATCTAGAAACCTGAGCTTGATGCACAAAACTCCATGCCTGGCAATACAAAATAATAATCTTAGTCCACAAAGAATTATCTGTGTAGTAGAAAACTCAGAAGTAAATTTTTATGCAAATAAAGTATAGATCCATATCCAACATACTGAATACTAAAAGAAAATGTCAGGAGTCACTTAAAGGACCTGATGATCTCTTCATAATAAAGTTGAGATAAAGGTTAACTCTGATAGTAGAAATATCCTTATTTTTCACTTGCTCAGTAAAAATCACTTATCTTTTTGAAATGCAAATCGTACCTTAAATCTCGCGAATGACACACAAAAATTTTTACCTCAGCCTTCAAGGCAATACAGTATCTTGACAGCTGCCTGCACTACCAGTTTCATCTGTACTTTGCACTCTTTGATCTCTATCTAGACTCCAACTACATCAGCTTTTATTTTTCAATTGCACCAAGCTTATTCCTACTGCAAGCCTTTGTACATATTTTCTTACTTTTCCTCCTCGACTCCTCCTTTCTGTGGTTAGCATAAGCATTCTTCAGGAAAGCCTTTTCCATGCCCCATGTACACACTAGTGCTGTCTTTGAGATCATTAATGGTGCATTGGTTCGCAATGTTTATTTAGTTCCCCTACCAAATGCTAAATTGTTCAACATAAAGGATCCCGTCTTTCCCCAGGGCCTGCCTAACACAGGGCCTTGTACAAGTAGACATTGATAAATACATAAGTGATCTTAGTCCACAATACTTAGTCTGAATATTAAATACAGACACAGTACTTAGTCTGAATACTAAAAGAAAATGTCTAGAGGATAAGGTAAAAGTGAGGGTGTGCAATTGAAAAGTGAGGGTATTTCTTAGTACTATTTCTTAGTACTATTAGATTTAACCTTTATCTCAACTTTATTATGAAGAGATTATCAGGTCCTTTAAGTGACTCCTGACATTTTCTTTTAGTATTCAGACTATTGTGTCTATATATAGTTAAGGAGTCAGAAACTCCTGTTTTTATTCTGCTGAAGGATGCCCTTATCTTTACTAAGACAAATATTTTCTCCTACAAATTATTTAAAATTTTACTAAATGCAACAGAACCACCTAAAAGGAACATGTTTTCTTTCAGGACCTTTCCACATAGAGATGATTTCTTTGTTAAAGAATAACAGTTGCTTACAAAACCTTTAGAGTGACAAACTTTCAAGACAAAAATTAGCATTCCACTTTTAAGATGATGTTTGGGCCATCTGATGAACTAATAGTTAATTCTAAGCATTTTGAGAATCTGAAGACATTAAGCCTGACAAAGTGACTTTAGGAACAGAAATTTCATGCCAGAAAAAAAAGGTGGCACAAAAATGTCATTCCAGAAAAACGTCTTCCAATGTGGAGACAGGCAACTTCAGCCTTACTCTACGTGTAGGACTTCCTTAAGCTGAAGATCTATAAAACCATCTAATTACATAGAGAAGAATATTAAGCTCAGCAAGGTTAAGCAAGCTGCCCAAAGTCTCACAGCTAATGCATAATGTTGGGATAAAAACTTTTTTCTCATCTAACCCTAATCCCACAGATTCTGTGGTTTTCATATTACTCCTAACCACCCGATGTTCTTCGGAGGAGCCACTTTCTAGAAGGATGAAGCAGGCTAGCTCCAATCTCTGCTTCGACTGGACCAGTCAGTTCTATCCAGAGTTATACATAAGATGTTTGTGGCGGAGCTAGCTGGGTGGTGGTCAGGGGGTACCTGAAAACCACTAATCAACCTCTTAAAATTGTCAATCTGCTCCAGTAAAGCAGGCTTCCTGTTTTAATAACTCTTTATGCCTTTGTCACATGCCATTAAGCTCAGCCGAGCTTCTGGCTTACATTACAGGGAGCAAAAACAAAGCCAATCTAACCTTTTTCGGCTCCTTCTTCTTGCTTTTTTGCCTCCTCTTCAAGGACCTTCATCTTTGCATCATACTCATCAGCAAGGGATTTCCATTCTACTCTGTTATTCTGAAGACCGCTCAGCATAGGTGTGATTTCTTTGTGAAACCGTGAGAACTCCTGAAAAGAATTTTAGGTCAGAGACTACATATATCATACAGTTAATTTTCAGGCTTTTAATAGGCAGAGAATGAGCTGTAAGGAATTGTTGCACCACTCAGAGCTGCTAGGATAAGCTTAACTCAGGGCCTACGAAGTTTGAGAAAGAGACAGGTGCTGTCTTTCCTGCCTGCCTAAAGAAGTGTTCAGTTCTCTCGCATCTGAGTTTCCTCCCTTTGTTCTAGCCCTGAGTGAGATTAGGTTAAAACCTCAAACTGCTTTGGAGAAACAGTGGCACCTGTGATGGCTTTCCATATGGATGACTTTTAAATTTTGGTGACAGTTTGAAAGAAAAATTTTCATCCAAATGTTTATATATTTAATTCAGATAATTTGCTTCTTACCTTATATACAAAAGTACAAACAAAATCAATAAATCCAACTTGAAGTTTAGGTAGTTCATCTTTTTTGTTTCTGTCCATCATAGGCTAAAAAGAGAAATAAATTCTTTAAGATAGGTTTCTAAGATGTAGTGAACAAAACGGATTGATTTGTCCTGATAACTTTTAATAAGTAATGCATTTTTATGTCAAGGTCTTACAATAGGTTGTTGCTGCAACACTGTTCTCTCCAGATCTCCTTGTTCCCAAAATTCATTTGCAACCATAAGTGCTACCTGCAAATGAGAAAGGCTTGGTTCACTAAATCCACTTATTAATAGAGAACTTGCATTTTATTAGTACATGTGACATTTAAGGATTGAGTTTACAGTCAGTGCTTGAGGTGCTATCAGACCATATGCTCTAAAGTTCTAAAAATTTACAGATTATATTGAAATGGGAAAGGGGAGCTTTTTCTTCCTGTTTTGGTGTTCTAGGCTTATTCTGGGACATCTGTCTCCTATTTATTATTGCCACCACTTCTCACTAATAAAAAGGAGAAAAATAGAAGGATTAAATATTATGCTTCAAGTTCTAACACTTCAAAGTTAGGTTTTCCTTTGTCCTGTCTATCTGTTAACATCTAACATACATTTGTGAATGTACATGTGACATATATAGATTAATAGGTAGTTTTACCTAATTACAGCGTAAGGATATTCCAGCATTAATTTATAATCACTTTTAAAAACAGTATTTATCAAGTTCATTAAACATGTGCTAGCTGCCTTTACATTGGCATGAGCCAGGCTTGCCAAGAGGAATAAGGTGTGATCTTTTCCTTTAAAATGTTCACAGTCTAGTGAAGACAGTCATGTAAACAATGTGGTAAGCGCTATAACAATAATAGTGTACTTGCTATGGATCATGGAGAAAGGAGTAAAGATAAGTTTCATGAAGAAAGGAGGTAGCATTTATGTTGTATTGTCAAGAATAAGAGTAGTTTTCCAAGAAGAGAGGAGGGGAAAAATATTTACAGAGATAAAATGGAACACACAAAGTTTACGTGAATACAAGCTTAGAGTATGAAGCAATGACTTGGAGAAGGTGATGGGAAATAATGCTGGGAGGGTGAGTTAAGGACAGGTAGTGGCGGGCCATGTAAATTTTGCTAGGAAGCTTGAATTTGATTCTCTAGGCCAGTGTTTTTTACTATTGGAGCCTAGGGTTCCCCTGAAGTACTCTAGGGACCCAAGAATGTGGAGACCAAGAGAGATGAAAGCTAAAGCAGCTTTGCTTTTTTCTTTTATGAAGTGATATTTGGGCAAGTTTTATTGAGGGAAAATAGACTTTACTTCTTTGGGGAACAAAAAGTTGGAAACTTCTGGCAATGGGGAGTATGAGGCTTTTAAGGAGTAGAATGGCTGAGTTGAGCTCTGTGTATAAACATCCTGGCAGCAAATCAGAGGATGAGTTGTGGAGTTGATGTGAGGATCTATTAGGAGGCTGCCAGCGTAGTTCTGGTGAAAGTCTGAACTGACGTACTAGCAAGGCTGATAGAAATGATTTCGAAAGAGGGAGATAAGCTCAAGAAAGACCCCAGGTTTCTAGCTTGGGTGACCACATTGATAAAGAACAGAGGAGGCAGAGCAGGCCTATCAAGGTGGAAGGAAAGGAAGTGTTTGGTTTTGGACTTGGATGGTGACAAAGTTCAGGAAACCCTGCCCCAAAATATTTTAAGGTGATGAAATATGAGAAAACTCAAGCAGCAGGAAGATCAGTCTCACCATCCCCCCACCTTCTCCCCTGAATTAGGTCATAAACCCAGGTAAAGATTTCTGACCTTTCCTTGAAGCAGATCATAAGACCTTCATTCAAGTGGTACCCTCCTTATTCCTGGAGGTAAGGAGCCAAAGACACAAAGATGCCAAGAAGAATCTGAACAAACTGGCCTTGCTAAGCTGCCTCCACAGTTATATCATACGCTCTTTGCCTAATTTTATTTCTCAATTCTATTTAGCATAAAAATATACAAGTTTAACTGTTTCTTAGGGTTTTTGTTTCCTTATGAAGGCTCCTGTATCACATGTAAAACAAATAGATGTGTATGCTTTTCTCTTGTTAACATGTCTTTTGCTACAGGGGCCTCAGTCATGAACCTAACATGAGTGAGAAATAGATATTTTTCCTCCCCTACAATGAATTCCAGTTATTCTGTCTTTATAAAAAGATACAATCCACATTTACAATTAAACACATTTAATTCTGGCCTCTCTTCTGCTTGGGGTTTCTCTAGAAATTATTGGAGGAAAAAGAGAAGCTTCTTTCATCCAGTTAGTAAGAAAGCAAGTGGTAGACCAGTGCCTCCCCAAGATGAGGGAAGAACTTCTGTGGAAGGCAACCTTAGACATCAGCTCATAGTCAGAGCCGCCTTATAACTCACAGCTCATTGAAGAAGAGACAATAGAAGCAAAAACACCCTTGATAGAGGGAAACACTAATGGTTCATCCTAATCTTGTTCTGACTTCTCTTACTGATATAGTTTGGCTGTGTCCCCACACAAATATCATTTTGAATTGTAGTTCCCATAATTCCCAATTCATGGAAAGGACCCAGTGGGAGGTAATTGAATCATGGAAGCAAGTCTTTCCTGTGCTGTTTGAGTGATACTAAGTAAGTCTCACAAGATCTGATGGTTTTATAAATGGGAGTTCTTCTGCCCAAGCTCTCTTACCGCCACCATATAAGATATCCCTTTGTTCTTCCTTCATCTTCTGCCATGATTGTAGGGCCTCCCCAGCCATATGCAACTGTGAGTGCATTAAACCTCTTTCCTTTATAAATTACCCAGTCTTGGGTTTAACTGTCTTTATTAGCAGCAGTGTGAGAACAGGCTAATACACTCCTCTATTTAAAAACTCAGACATTTCTTGAATAATTTTATGTAAATGGTTTACAGTGTTTCAATGTTAAAGAAGTCTTTCAAGAAACCACTTTCCTTCCAAAGTTCCTTCTATTTGCCTTATTCTAGGGCCTAATCAAATTGCGTACTGTCTCACTAATGTTTGTAATTTTTCACAATTCTGAGGTTGCTGAAGATCTTTAGTTGGACATTTACATGGGACCTAGACAGTGGCTGACAGTGTGACAGAAAAGAAAACTTAACTGGACTCACCTGACTTTGGACCTCCCAGGGTTTGGTGATAGCAGACAAGTCACATGCAGTCATCATCATTGCCCTTAGGAAGAAAACAAAAAGTTTTAAATAGAAATAAGTAAAAAAATAAGTTATTTTTGCAAAAAAAACAAGAGAGAAATAAAATTTTGACTACCTACATGATAATCTCTTTTTTGGTTGGATCAACAGTTACATATTTTATGGCTTCTTCTTCCGTTTGCATTTGTTCACAGGCATCAACAATTTTTTGAAACATGGTTCTCTTCCTAGAAAAGATACAGCTGTGAGCAACAAATTTAGCATATAAAAGCAGAGAGAAAAAGTGTCTTAAATACATGCTTTTCAGATTTCATGTTCCTACTTTGCATTGTGATATCCATACAGCAAAGTCTACAGGGCCGGAAGATAAGAGAGCAGAGAATGGTGGTGTAACTTTGGCTCAGAAAGAGCTTAAGGCAGAAAAAAAGCACACACCATAAAGAGAAAAAAACAAACAGGTAACTTGAAATACATTAAAATGAAAATGTTACATATAAGGCTGGGTGCAGTGGCTCACATCTGTAATCCCAACACTTTGGGAGACCAAGGTGGGAGGATGGCTTGAAGCCAGGAGTTTTAAACCAACCTGGGCAAAAAAACGAGGTCCTGTCTCTTTAAAAATGAAAGTAAATAAAAAATTACATATGGGAAAAGAGACGATACCTAAATATAAAGGCCACAAACTGTGATAAGATACCATAATACATATAATCAACAAAAAATTGAAATCCAAAATACATGGATGCTCAGCTAGTCTCACTGCTAATCAAGAAACTATAGACTTGAGCAATATTATCTCACATTCATTATATTAGCAAAATAAATGTTGAATGTGCTGAGTTCAAGAGTACTTCAGATATGGGATTCTTTTCTCTCTCCCTCTCTCTCTCTTTTTTTTTTTTTTTTTTGAGACAGAGTCTTGCTCTACCTCTCAGGCTGGAGCGGAGTGGCCTGATCCTAGCTCACTGGAGCCTTGAACTCCTGGGCTGAACTGATCCTCCTACTTCAGCCTCCCCAATAGCTGGGACTACAGGCATGTTCCACCATGCCTAGTTAATTTTTAAATTTTTTTGTAGAGACATAGTCTTGCTATGTTTCCCATGCTGGTCTCAAACTCCTGGCCTCAAGTGATCCTCCCACCTTGGCCTTCCAAAGTGCTGAGATTACAGGCATAAGCCACCTCACTTGGTTGGAGCTCTTGTACACTGTGGGTGGGAGTGCAAACTGGCACAGCTTGTCAGGAGTGCAGTTTTATTATGTAGCATGAAATTGAAGACATGCAAATCCTACAGCATTCTCACTTTTACATGTCTTAGAGAAACTCCTGTATGTACAGGGACATCTTAGGTAGCATTGTAGACGATGATGAAAAATTACATACAGTTTAAATGTTCATGAATAGAGGAGTGGGTAAATTAATTATGAATATTCAGTAGTTGAATACTCTGTTCAGTTAAAATAGATGCATTGGAGCTCCATTTATTATCAATGATAAATCTTTAAAATGCAATGTTGCATTAATCAAGTAAGTTTCAGACAGGTATATACAGACAGTATGATACCATTTATGGACAATTTAAAACACACAACAATACCACATAACAACATGGATGGAAATGATGAATACACATCAATGTCAGATGGTGATATTTTTGTGGGAGAAGGGAAAGGATTTTTCATAGTGGAGTAGGGCTGGAAACCTTCAATTGCATTACTAATTTTTTTCTCCTTATGAAGCAAAATCTGAGGCAAATGTGGCAAAATTTAGCGTTTGTTAAATCTGGGCTATAGATATTTGTATATCTATTTTATTATTATTCTTAGTACTTGTCTTCATTGAACTATTTAATAATTAAATATTTAGACCCAATGCAATGGCTCATGCCTGTAATTCCGCACTTTGGGAGGCTGAGGTGGGTAGATCACTTGAGGTCAGGAGTTTGAGACCATCCTGGCCAACATGGTAAAACCCTGTCTCTACTAAAAATATAAAAATTAGCCAGATATGGTGGCGGGAGCCTGTAGTTTCAGCTACTCAGGAGGCTGAGATGGAAGAATTGCTTGAATGCAGGAGGCAGAGGTTGCAGTGAGCCGCGGTCATGCCACTGCACTGCAGTCCAGGTGGCAGAGTAAGACTCCGTCTCGATAAATAAATAAATAAAATTTAATAAGACCGAGTGCGGTGGTTCACGCCTGTAATCCCAGCACTTTAGAAGGCCAAAGCGGATGGATCACAAAGTCAAGAGTTCGAGACCAGCCTGGCAAATATGGTGAACCCCTGTCTCTACTAAAAATACAAAAATTAGTTGGGTGTGGTGGCAGGTGCCTGTAGTCCCAGTTACTTGGGAAGCTGAGGCAGGAGAATCCTTTGAACCTGGAAGCAGAGGTTCAGTGAGCCGAGATTCCACCACTGCATTCCAGCCTGGGTGACAGAGTGAGATTCCGTCTCAAATAAACAAACAAATTAATTAATTAAATATTTAATTAAGAAGAATCAGAAAGGCATAATTTGACAATGCCCAAGTCACTGAATATTAGAATCCTATAACTAGGTCATGTTGTTCTAATCCATTTTCACCAAGCAACTTTATAATTCACTTATAAGAAAATGTGCAGATACTGGGAGTATCTGATCTCCTTGGCAATATTACTACTGTAAATAGGCTGGCTCTCTGCTGTGTATGACTCAATTTTGTAAGTTTGAATAATGTATGTCAGTGCCAGCAAAATTGTTCAGCTCCTAGACTTTGACAGAATCAAATTTCTGTGCCTGAAACAAAATACCAGATTCTGGACCATAGTGAATTCACCAGGACAAAAAGCCACCTTGTGAGGTCTCTTGGCTTTACTCTTTTGGCAAGGCACAAATTTGACTGCATATTCTTCAATTTAAACTTTTTCAGATAACAAACTCCTTAATATTAGGAGCTTATGTTTTTAAAATATGTTCGCAGATGTCTAGTAAATTTACTGGCATGCATCTGTCTTGAAGATACTCTACTTGGTAATCCAAAACAAAAGTGGGTAGTGCGTGCGTGCGTGCGTGTGTGTGTGTGTTTGATGCCTTTTAACATCAGTGCAACAGATAATTTATGGAAAGTAAAACCACATGCAGTATAGGGCATTCCACTGTGCAGTTATGTTTTCTGTACTTACTTGAAATATAAAGCCAGGTCAGTTGCTATTATTGCGACCTCAAACAAATGAATAACTGTTTCAAACTGCCGCTTATTTAGGTTCTGGAAGATGTTTAAACTCTGTAAGATGAAAATTCACAATAAAATGCAATCATTAATTTGCCTCCGATTGAACACACAAGCAAATGAAACTGTGCCTAACAAAAACAAAAATCTAGGTCTTTGAATACTTTTGTGTCTGGTTGGTTTTTTGGTTTTTCTTCTCTTTTTTTTTTTTTTTTTTTTTTTTTTTTGGCTCACTTTCAGTCTTTATCTCATGGACTAAGTAAACCCCTCTTCTGCACTTCGAGTAAGATAATTTAATTTAAACTTTAAAAATAGATACTGTTAGCTAATATGCATTTAATCACTGTTTACATTTTTGGAGTAAATATGTGTTTTCTTCCAGGACTGTTAAAATAAATAACAATAGATTTAAAACATGCTTGTATTAATTGAATAGCGTTAATAAAGAATTTCTGGGAGAAGTCCAATTGTCAGACATGTTACCTTACCTACCACATAATTTTAGAATGATCATAGAAACCACTGGTCTTTCAGAAATGCAAATTACACTGTAATTTGTGTTATAGGAAATAATACCATGTATATGTAGGAAAAATAATATATTTTATTAAAAAACATCTATCATGTATATATAGGAAAAAATAATGAAATCCTTCCATGTTATCTTTAAAATGTTTTCATGTAATTCTATTTTTACTAAGACTTAACTAGACCTTTCTTCTAAGAGTTGGTCATTACTTCTCTTCACATATGGATCAGCTTTCATTTCTTAGTGTTCTAGAAAATGAGAATATAGGCTGAGCATGGTGGCTCATGCTTGTAATCCCAGCACTTTGGGAGGTTGAGGTGGATAGATGGCTTAAGCTCAGGAGTTTGAGACCAACCTGGGCAACATGGTGAGACTCCCATCTCTACTAAAAATACAAAAATAGCTGGGCGTGGTGGTGTGTACCTGGGGTCCCACCTACTCAGGATGCCAAGGTGGAAGGACTGCTTAGCCCTGGGGTGTGGAGGTTGCAGAGAGCTGAGACTGTGCCACTGCACTCCAGCTTGGGTGATAAAGCAAGACCCTGTCTCAAAAAATGGAAAATAAAAAAGGAAGAAAATGAGAATATAAAGCTGGGGGTGGTTTCTTAAAGCTCAGTTATTCCAAATAGACCATTTTAGTCACACAGGCCAAATGACAGATACATAGTGATTTTGCCAAATGAATTTGACAGTTACAAAATGCAGAAAAATTCCACTGGACATAGTCTACCAATCTATATAAAGATAGAAGTAGCATAATGCCAAAAACAATACTGGCCTGAACACCAAGTAATAAGAGTAAACACTGACTTAGTTCTTACAACCAGGTTCTAAGTGCTTTGTGAATATTCCCAATCTCTTCACAGCAGATCCCAGCACAGAGAGGTGAAGTAACTGCCAAAGGTTTAACAGCTAGAATGTGACAGAAGTGGTATCTAAACCAATGCAGCATGGTTCCAGAGTCTGTGCTCCTAATCTCTGCACACTACATGACTTCTCAACAGGGAACCCAGGTTCATTTCCTGGCTTCCCCATTTTGGCAGTCATATAATCCTAGAGACTTCACTTAACATCTGTGATCATTTGTTTTCTCAAATGGGTATAATAACAGCTGCCCTGCCTAACTGCCTAGCATTTAGTCTATGCGCAATTAATATCTGTGGAATGCTGAATCAAATGAAATGACAACTGGGAATGCATTTTTAAAACTGCAGATTGCTGTTAAAATTTATTGTTATATATTTATTATTGTTATATAAAGTTTTGAGGCCAGCTCCAGGTAAAAATAGAATTGCAAACCTAAGACCAAATATGGCTATCAGTCATTTCAGAAGATTGAAATATTAGAAAGCCATAATTGGACAATAACTCAAGTTTTAGACACTATACTATGCTTTATGTAAATCTTCACTCAAGTCATCTTTTTATAACTTTTTTCTAGGATAAGAAAAGTGGTGTTTTACAAAGCATAGATAAGTAATACAAAGGAAAATTTGTGATTTGTTAACATAATGAGTTCATCATAGCAACTATAGTTAAACTTATAGCTAGATTGAAGCAATGGCTGTTGCTCTAAATTACATTAAACAAAAAGAGAGATTATCTGGATCAAAATCAATTTTTTGTTTGTTTTGAGATGGAGTCTCACTCTGCCACCCAGGCTGGAATACAGTGGCATGATCTCAGTTCACTACAATCTGCCTCCTGGATTCAAGCAATTCTTTTGCCTCAGCTTCCCTGGTAGCTGGGATTACAGATGCCTGCCACCATGCCCAGCTAATTTTTGTATTTTTTAGTGGAGATGGGGTTTCACCATGTTAGCCAGGCTGGTCTCGAACTCCTGACCTCAAGGGATCCACCCACCTTGGTATCCCAAAGTGCTGGGATTACAGGCGTGAGCTATCGCACCCAAACCCAAAATCAGTTTCTTACTTGGGACATTTCACAGAAACCTACTGGACATGTCAGTTCAGAATCTCTGAATCAAATCTTCTGGATACAGGTTATTTTCAACCTAGTCTGGATTACCAGGTAGGGGGAAAGTAAGTGGGGCCATTTCAATCCTACTTAACCTGCCCCTGATTTTGGAACAGTTTTGACCTTCCTTTTGGACTTGGGGTGATCCAGTGGCATACTGACATCAGGGAATCACTGCCTTTATTTGTTCAGTGATGAACATAGCTATGTTCCCAAAGTAATGTTTATTATGTGGCTCAGATACATTGCAAATTAATAATATTTAAAGCCAACCTTGATGGCTATACTAGGAAAAAAAAATAGGGGAAGGGGAGATGTGTGAAAATGCCTTAATCTTTTAGATGAATTAATATTTATAGCACATGAAATCATTTTAAAAAGCAAAACAGACTGCTGAATTCAAAGAAATAATTCCTTGGGACAGAGGCTTCCTTGTCTCTACCAAGTGTCAGGTTGTACAGAGTGTATAATCTACAACCAATCAAATAAATCAAATTTATTATGTACCAGTTGTTTTAGGGCACATTACTTAATTTGAAAAACTGGACACTTGTTGCTGTTTGATAAACGTGTGTGAAAAAAAGCTATAAAGAAATATGAAACATGACAAATACTGTTGTACTCTATCATACCTTTCTCTAGTCCAAAATAATAAAACAGCTGTATTAAAGTTGACAGATTTGTATCAAAAGTTCTCTTACTTTTCAAAGTGAGTCAATACTGGATTTTTAAAAATTAATATAATGAAGAAAAAGGGTTGATAGTCACCATTTCAGTACCACTTCCTTTGTATATAACACTACATACCTGCATTTCATTCATGCCTTTTTCTTCTCACCCATTTTCATTTTCATATAAAAACATGCACAAGCCTCCTAATTGGAAGAACTCTTTTAACTGTATTTTATGCTTTGTGTGTTCTCCCTTTCACACCTGAGGTTCTTGAAAGAAGAGCTTCTAACTGACTTGTTAAGTTATGGATACAGATTCATATAAAAGATCCTATTCTTGTTTTTGTATTAGTTGTTGGAAAGCACTTGGCCAAATTTGTGGCCTGTGTCTGATAAATGTTTTGGCCAAATTTGTGGCCCATGTCTGAAAAATACAGTAAGGTACATAAGTGTACCTTAAGTATTATGGTACTTAACATTATTTAAAGGATATTATGAATATCACAGGATGATACTATTTAAGATACATTTATGTACAATAAGGTACATAATTGTATATATTTTGGGTATATATGGCCTTTACTATGTTTCATCTCATTTTTATTATTTTTCCATTAGCCCTCATTTTCTTTTTCTTTAGTGTTGTGTGTATTCTTGGAAGCTCCATCAACTCCTCTTTGGAACAAAGTGGGACATACACACATACATACATGCGCACACACACACACACACAAGTTGGGTTTTTTATTTAGTAGGTCAGCACACACTCAGTGACCCTTTAATTAGAACAAGAGGTCTCAAGATGTACCTAGCACACGGGAGAACAAGGAAGTCCTTCCAAGACCTACTTTGACACCACAAAACAGCAGAAGAGGAGTTGATGGAGAAGTTATGCTGATGTATATTTGCATTGACTTCTGATATTAAATCTCCTAGACCAAAGAGATTGCCATGGGTAACAAGAAGTAAAGGAGGGAAGGCACACAACAATGACCAGATCCTAAATAGAGAGCCTGGAGCTTCACAGGCTTTGCTCAATATGAACTTTACCAACTTCTGGAAAACAAAATCAAAGAGGTGTTAATATGGTCTGGCCTTGTGTCCCCACCCAAATCTCATCTCAAATTGAATCCCCAGGTGTCAAGGGAGGAACTTGGTAAGAGGTGATTGAATCATGGGGGCAGTTCTCCCATGCTGTTCTTGTGATAGGGAGTTCTCACAAGAGCTGATGGTTTTAAGTGTGCCACTTCCTTGCTCTTTTTCACACACTCTTGCCTGCCACCATGTAAAATGTGCCTTGCTTTCCTTTCCCCTTTGGCCATAATTGTAAGTTTCCTGAGGCCTCCCCCACCATGCAGAACTGTGAGTCAGTTAAACCTCTTTTCTTTACAAATTACTCAGTCTTGGGCAGTATCTTTATAGCAGTGTGAAAATGGACTAATACAGGTGTGTTCCTTAGAATTGGTGAGAGAATGTTTGAGACAACAGATTGGAAGCTGAGGATTTCCCCAGCTCATTCCTGCCCTTTCTCCACCAGTACTCAGCAGATAGCTGGCTCCATTCAAGGATGAGTAATTCTCAAAGGGGAACAAGTGCAAAACCTATGCATAAAATGATCGCAAGAACACAAAATAATCCATAGATACAGTCCAAATCCAACCAAAATACCAACAAGTTTGTGTGTATATAATATACATTTTATAATTGATTTGTCCATTTATAAATCAATTTTGTAAATGGACAAATCAATTACAAAATTTATATTGAAATGCAAATCAAAAAGTATTGGATGCATTTAAATGTTGAATTAAAATAAACAATAGTGGAAATTATAGAGCAAAATATAATTTTATAAATATTGATGGGATAAAAAATGTA